ATTTGTTCATTATGTTTTACAGATTTACTGAGATATAATTCACATGCCAAAAACATTCACTTATCCAAAGTGAGCAAGTCAATGGTTTTTATTGCACCAATAGAGTTGTGCAAACATTTCCATAATCAATTCAGAACATCTTCATCACCCCAAAGCAAGTCTTCACCATGTTTTATCAGTTGACGGATATTTGAACTGTTTCTACTTTTGTTGTACATTTTTTATCAAGATGAAAGTCATATGCTAAGTCACTTCTTAGTTATTGCTAGGACAAATTGTCGGACACTTACAAGTTAAAGGAGGAAAAGTTAATTTCAGTTCCATTTGTAGAGGTTTCAGTTCATATTTCAGCTGGCTTTAAGGGCAGCCTGGCAGAAGGGCATCACAGAGGAGAAATAGCTCATGGCATGGTGGCAGCAAGCAGCAAGCCTCCCTTTCCCTTTTATTCCATCCAGGCTACAAGCCTATTGGTTGGTTCCACCCATATCCAAGGTGGGCCTTCCCATTCACACCAAGAACCATGCTAAACCAATCAACAGACTAATCCAGTTATCCACATCCTTAATCTATAATCTCACAGCTTAGGTCCAGCCACCTCCAAAAAACCCTACCTATGAGAGCATGAGGCTTTGGGGGACATCTAGATAGAAGTCATTACAGTCACCCTTTAAAAATGTATAGGCCAAGAGTTTTAAGATTTTCAAAGAGCTGCACAAGTATCACCATGAATTTCAGGACATTTTCATCACCCCCAAAGAAACCCCACCCCTATCAGGAGTCAGCCTTCATTTCCCTCCCTCAGGCCCCCACCACCATGGAGCCAGCCTATTTCTATGGATTTGCTTATTCTGAACACCCCATTCCAACAGATCACCTCTGTAACTTCTTATGACAGGTTTTCTCCACTTAATACACTGTTCTCAAGGTCTGTCCAGGCTGCAGCACGTAGTCATACTCCATTCTTTTTATGGCTAGAAAACATTCCGTTCTGTGGATGGACCAGGTTATCCTTCATCAGCCAACAGGCATTTGCATTTTCGCACTTTTTGGCTGCTATGAATGATACTACTGTGAACATTCACGTTCAGAGTTCATTTTGATGCACTGTCTGAGTTACACCTAGGAGTGGGATTTCTGGGTCATGTTGTAACTCAGTATTAAAGCATTTGGAGGAACCAACAAACTTTCCCAGGTGGCTACGCTACTCTGCATTCCCACCAGTAATTTACAAGAGTTCCAAGGCATCCACATCCTAGCCACTGCACGTCCTTGTCCTTTGGTTACATCCATTCTAGGGGATATGAAGTCACTTCTCATAGTGGTTTCACTTCCCTGGAGATTAATAGTGTTACATGTACGTGTTCCTGTGCTTCATGCAATTTCTACATCTACAAGAAATGCCTACTCAGATCCTTTGAGCACTTTTAACTCAGATGGAAGTGCGATGGAAAGCCACTGGAGCAGAGAAGTGACGCGGTATCACAGGCTCAATGGCCACTGTGTCAGAGCAAGTCCAAGGGAGGGACGGAGCAGGGGCAGGGAAGCTGGGGAGGGGGCTCATGACACCGGGGCGTCTTGCTGGACCACTGTGGTGAAGTCTAACGTTTTCATTGTGGTTGCTCTTGAAACTACAAGCACAGTATTTCCTGAGTCCATGTGGGGTGGCAAAAAAAAAAGGAAGTTCTGAAACAGGGAGACTAGAAAGATAGAGACCCTGACCTCCCTGCAGGGAGCTCCCACTGGCAGCTGGGTCCACATACAACTGTGGGGCTTGGAGAAGTCTGGGTGGGAGATCAAAACGTGTGAGTCAGCTGCCTACCAGAGGTAGAACCACAGACAGCATGAAATCACCACGCCAACAAGTGTGGTACGCAGGAAAGGTTTTCGTTAAACAAATGAAGTTCACTGCTTAGTGTCTCATACACAAATGATTTTCCATTACATCAATTTCCGATTAAACCTGTTCAAAGTGCACTAACCCTGGGCCTTCTCCTGCCTCTCATCCGCCTCACCAACATGTCTGATGTGGCACCTCACATTTTTGTTTATGCATCTCAGGTGCCAAGAAGTCCTGTGTTCAAAGTGCCTGCGTATCTCTCCGCCCCCACCGCCCTCAGCTTCCCTTTATCAGTACGTTAAAGAGAAAAACGTTGGTGCTAGTGTTTCCCGGGACCTTCTGTCTCAGAGGAACTGACTAGAGGGCTTCCGGGTGACAAAATGCCCCTAACAGGAGATACGATGCCTAGGTGAAGTGAGGAGGCACGATGTGCTCTGGGACCAGGCTGTGGTGCAGGACACAGGCCCACGGGGAGGCTTCCCACAAACACTAATGTCGCATCTCCCCAAAATGATCAAGCGTCACAGCCAGGCCTGTGTGCAAAGCTCAGCTGATGCACTTCCATCATGGTAGGTAGATTCCAGCAAAGCTTTGTCCAAGAACCACCAAGGGGCATGGCTGTAGCCACAACGCCTCAATGTGCTAGAGAAATCTGGATTTGTCGGGGGAACAAGCAAACAGTTTTGGGAGGAAAGCTCCAAGAATCATGAAACTTTACCGAACGTGGCGCTAGAAATTTTCTCATCTGCAGAGGAAACAAAAGTATTAAGACAGCACAGGCGCATGTATGCTTTAAATTACTGAAATGATTACCCAGTGAAGGCTGAATTGATGATCTTATTTATTTATTGAGGAGAAAAATGCACAAGTTTAACCTAGTATCTAATAATTAATTTAGAAGTATAATCTTGAAAAAGATATAATCAACAATGAAGGAACATACGGAGTCTCCGGGTGTGCCGTCCTCCAAAGGAACGATGGTATCATTGAGACCATTCCACCTACGAGCCTGGCACTGTGGATGGGTACCTGCTTCAAACTGGTCACCTGGTAACTTCCCCTGGAGACTTTTTAGGGACTTTTTATGGTTACATTGGTATTATCACTTTCTGTGTCTAGTAACTTAACAGTACACTTCGCTGAGCAACAAGGGAAATAACTTGATTTCTCTACAGCCTAGCTGCCTAGCTCCACTTGCACAGCAGAGGCCGGACCTTCCCGCACTGCCTGTGCTTGAGGAGCACGGCGCACACACGGCGTTCCCTAAGCCGTGCCTTACTCAGCGCGTCCTTCCCCACAGTGTGAGGCTCTGCAGGGCAGCGCACCGCTCTGCCTTCCAAGTGTTGTCCTGTGCAGCCCATTCTTGATGACCCGTGTCCACCTCCCTGGGGTGGACAATCCAGGCTGCTTCTCTTCAGCTACAGTAAGCGCAGCCTCAGACTGTCACAGGAAGACTACCCACACCCAAAGGCTGGGACAATAAGGCTGCGGGTCTCCTTCCACAGATAACGTGCCCCAAAGTATAGCATCAATCTTTCCACCTAACGCTGCATATCTCATCACGCACCCACCATGCGTCCTGCAGCAGCCTTAGCGACCTCTCACGCTGCCAGTTGGGGTGACCAGCGGCGCAGAGGTTTCAGAGCAGGTTCTATGGAACTCGTGGGCTATTTACACGGTGGGAGCTTTGTAAGTAGGGTACTTCAGGAGAGAGAATGGGAAACGGAGAATTAAAATGTGCAGCTTATATTCGTCTTCACAAATGTCTTCCAGTTGTAAACTAATTACTATGCCTAGAAAATCCTAGCACCCTCAAAAAGTTCTCCAAAAAAATGTATACATTAGGCAAAGAAAAATGTGTGTAAATATTTTAACACTAAATTTACTGAGACATCGTGGGATTCACACAAGTTACCTTTGGTCTCTACAGTTGTAAGAGGTGCTCAATGTAGGGGCACGAGCTTCCAGGCTTTTATCAGTACAGTGAACTGCTGGTGTGTGGGTGCATTTTTTTTGGTGGACTCTGTATTTTGGCTCTACTGGAATACGGATCCTGAATTTTGCAGACTTTGAAAAGGCATGTTTTGTGATGTCACCTGAGCCTGTCTGAGAGCATAGCGTGTTAACAGTATCTCCGTGGGTCTTCTCTAAGGAGACGCTTAGAGGTAAGCACAGAGCTAAGTACCGTGGGAGCCAAGAAAGGGCTACGTGTGCAAGGCCAGCTGAGACGGCCGAGGAATGAGCCACACAGGCAGGGCCTTGTCCCCAGACACTGCCGGCCTTTACACTGCTGTGACATCCTCTTCACTTTACGTAGACACGCGGCTCTTCCCAGGGTGAGGGGCACCCCTGTCCCAGGGCGCTGCACCCCGGGGACTGCAGGGAGAGAATGAGCTTCAGCGGGCGGAGGACAATCTCAGGGGATCATGCTCACAGCAAGGAGGCCGAATGGAACCGCTTCCTTTCTGATCGCACCTGGCACCCACTGCACCTGAGACAGCACTCACGCGAGGGGGTGGAGGGGCAGGCAGGGAGGCACCCAGCCGGAGGATCGGGGCGCACAACTCTCCAGCAGGGACCTGGATCACAGGGCACTGGGGGCAGCAGCTGTGCGAACATGAAAGTGTTTGAAAGAGTTGCAAACTGCTGCGCCCTTCCTCCAAACATTGCGCAGCACCGTTTTAGACTCCAGCTCAGCAGGTGCTGTCGGTGTCACAGGTCACCTCTCTCGGGTCAGCCCGCTTTGCGGGACCTGACCTGGGACTCAGCCACCAATTCTGAGTATCACTGCCGTGGGAAAAGTTCTTCCAAGTCTGCTGCAGTCAGTGGCCTGGAATGTAAGGAAAAACCTTCCAACAGGTGCTCACTGGAGGACAATTCAGGAAATGTGGTCTCAATTTTAAGATGTAATCAATACAATATAGAGCAGCGATGGCGAACCTTCTAGAGTTTTCAGTGTTAAACAACAGCCAGCTGTGGCACAGGTGCCACGATTTCACCACCACTGATACCAGGAGAAACTCACCCCGCAGCATTTCCTCTGGACAAACCTCCTGCATCCTGCATTTGCATGTGGCAATGCTTCCAACTGGTACTGGTCATTTAAGTGATACTCAGGTTCTGCAGAATGTCTTTTTCGACACAGAGCAAATCACTGCAAATGTTCTTTATGCAAATATTTTATATCATTCTGAAAAATGCAGTCAAGACATAATGCTCTAGGCCCACATATGAAGGCCATCGGGTTATTTGAAATCTGTAGAAACAACATACTCTTGCAAAAGGGAGAAGCCATCTGAGAGAAAGAAAAGCTATCACAGACGTTCAAAACTCGTGTCCCCAAAGTCACTGCTATGTTCTAAGGCAGGCCAGATTATTGCTCAAAACTGCCCATCTTACAACATCAAGAAATTCTCACCTTTTCATTATCTTTTAAGTAAGGCAAGAACAGAATAAAGACTTTTTAAAGCAAACTTGTCTTTTGTGTTAAAAGTGAAATTTATTGCAATACAATAAGTGTCAAGTGTCATGATTAAAAATGCTGGTTAAAATTATAAAGTATCTAAGTAATTTTTCTAATGTAAATATTGGGAATAACAACTTGAACAACTCTATATGTAAACAGAACACTGAAAACAAAGATCACACACAGGGTCCAAACCAGCACTGCACATTCTCCTCCCAGGGACGAGGGACCGCTGCTCTTCCGCCCTGAGGCCGGGAGGGAACGCTGGCCCTCGGGGCTCAAACCTCAAGGCGGAAGTGTTCCTCACACACAGGGTAGCCACACACCCATGTTCTCAAACCACCGGCTGTAATCAGATCAAGTGGCTCCATTTCTTGTATTTCCTTTTCTCAACAGGTCTTGGATAGAAAGATGAGCTACGAAAGCCATGATTACAGGGTCCAACACGACAGTGCATTGTTAATGCTTCCTGTACGAGTGGCTTAAAGTTTCCCGTGAAGGCTAAGAAGTACATGAAACACCGATGACTCTAAGTGACCCGCCTCCACTGGCTCCCTAGGATGCAGAACTCGGCACCATCAAGAGGAAAGGGCGAATCAGTCAGGCCCTGCTGAGGGCAAAGCTGGCTGGGGTGCTGATACAGGGGAATGACAAAGGATACCCCCACTCTGCCCAGCCCCGCCTCCCTCCCCTGCACCCGAGCAGGGCTCCAGGGTCACTCTGGGCCCAGCACTGTGACAACATCCACCACTTTTCGGGTGGGGAGGGCACACCTGCTCGCTGCTGAGGACAGTTGCCGCAGATCTGACAGCAGCGCGTGTCACAGGCTCCACAGGGAAGCTGAGCTCAGGCGGGGCGGGGCGGCAGGGGATGATTTTCTTACACAGGAGCAGGTCAGCGGCTGAACCAAGGAGGACGGGGAAGTCGGGTACATGCTTACTCCTCCACGGCAAAGCTTCATGACCGTGTGCATGAGTCGCACGGAGCTCAGAAAAACACACTGGGCCGGGGTGGGGCTTCGGGTCTGCGTTTCCAATAAGGCCCAGGTACTGCTGCCGCCCTTGACCTGTGGACCCCGTGTGGAGAAGGGCGGGCCTAGGACACGCAGGAAGCTGACTCTCTCTCCGTCCCGGAAGCCCTGCCCGGCTGAGCTGCAGTCCACACGCGCTGTGCCAACGCACTTTCTGAGCACATCATGGCCACGTGAACAGCCAAACAAATGCTATAACCCAACTTCTACCTGCTGGAAGGAAAACTAACCTCTTCCTTATGAAGTCCTCCTTAAGTGATCATGATAGAAAAGTATAAATCTCAGCATACAAACGCCATAGGAAACGCCGCGCGCACATACAGAGTACAAAGTCGAAGAACCCACGCTCTCCAGCAGCGCCAAGTGCTACCACTGCTCCCAGCTAAAATCATCTCCTCTTCCAAAGACGAGGAAAAAGCCTTGAATTGTCAGGAAAATGACAGCGTTGCCCGCCAGCACCAGGCCGCAGGCTCCCCACTTGATCTGAAACACAAGAACAGAAGGGTTACGTGCTCGCTCTCTCCACCTCCTGCAAGTCCCTGCAGGTCTCCGCGTTACAAACCACCAATGAAATATTACACAAAGCTGCTAAAAGGCTGAATAGTCTCACAGGTGGAAGTCAGGGAACTACTCAGTCAGTACCCTAACCGCTTCCTCCGTGCTTGTTAATTAAGTCCGGTATTCTAAGTGCACTCCCCAGCAGACATTTTTCTCTGCTTGCTTTTGGCTGACAATGACTGCCTGAAGCATGGCAAGATCATGAATGGCCGGGTTACAACCCTGAGTACTGTAAATTCTGCATACATCAACTTCCTTCGTGGAAAATAGCAACTCTAGGATTATGGATCTGTTTGCTTCTTCTCTAGGCAAGCAAAACCTTTAAATAATAATCTGCATCCCGCTGGAGGCTGCATTCCCACCTGGCAGATGGCGCCAGAGGCTGGGCTCGGGGGAAGAGCAGCCTCTAGTGGGCATTTTCCTGGCTTTCATTTAACCGATAGAACACTCAGGAAATTTCTTGTCAAACACGATGGCAAGGCTGAAAGAGAACATTATAAATATTTACAGCAAAACTTCAGAAGTGATAGTCTAGGGCTCAAGAAGAATAAGGCAATGATAACCATTTATTCAAAATCTTTCAGCATAATCAAAGGTCAAACCAGACCTCCAGCCGTAACAACCCCCTTTTTAGAGTAGTTACAGCAGACACACGGGCTCATGGCCTGCGGCTTCACCCTCCCCGCTTCAGTGAAAGCCCTACTGATCTGGGAGGTCCACATCACAGGCCAGCTGGCAAGTCCCTCTCCTGGTACTCCTGTGGCATCCCCTTCCCACGGCAGTTACCACCTCCCAAGTCTATGGGACACTGGGCCATGGGGCGGCTCCTGTGCTCTCTGGGAGCTGGGGCAGTATCCGATGCTTATTCCTTGTCTTTTATAAGCAGCAGATGCTCCAAAGATACGCGAATAGCAAATAAACAAACAAGATGTGCGCATACTTGCTCAGTCAATGGCCCAAGTAAAAGTTTCATGAAACTGAAATACGAAACACTCAGGCAGAATAAAAGCAAGGAATAGGAAAGACAGTGAACAACAAGAACTAAACAAACCATATGCACAGAGCGAGTTTCAGAGGCAAAGGAAACTACACTGGCTGTGGACGTCATCTTAGTCAGTGTCTCTTCGAGCAGAGGAATAGACAGACATCCCCCTTTACAGACATATTATACGAGAAATTAACCCCATGATCCCACTTGCAAAGACTCTGTTGAGATCTTCACTTTGTAACTAGAAAAGTATTGCAAGTGTGGTCTCTTGAACTGCCTACAGGTTTCAGAGGCAGAGATTGTAGAGCAATCCCAGAGAACAGAGTAAGATAGAAAAGCAAGAAATCCTATGCTCTGGCTAAAACAAAGACAGCAAGGGGCTGGAGATTTAGCTCAGCAGCACAGCGCCTGCCTGGCAAGCTCAAGGTTGTGAGTTCAATTCCCGATACCGGAAAAAAAAAAAAACAAAAAACAAAAATAAATAAATAAATAAAACAGAGACAGCACTGGGGAAGCTGCTGAGAACCGGCAGGCTCAGCGACGGCAGAAGAAAGAAGCTGGAGACACGTCTGGCTCTGACACAGGAGTAAACTTGGGACAGCCAAGGAAAACAACGACAAAACTTACCACAGCCACACGGGCAAGAATGACGGGAAACCCGAAGGCCGAAACGACAATCCCGGTCGTGAAGAAATAGGCCAGCTCCCGGCAGGCACTGCTGGCGGCATCCGAGTCGTAGGTGACCCTCTTGGCGATGAAATGGGGCAGGGGCGAGATGGCGTGGAAGAGCAGCACGAACAGGGGCCAGTACACGCTGTGGGCGGCCCGGGGGAAGCCACAGTTAGTCCGAGACATTCTCTTGTTTCAAAACCGTTATTTCAAATGTTTGGGCCAAAGAATTGACCAATTATCAGTATTAAAAGACAAGATGATTTCTGCCAAGGATAACAGTGATAATTCAAAAACTACTGGTTAGTGTATGCATAGCTTCCACTAAGAAACAACTACAGAAGATGTGATCTACAAACATTACTGTTTTCTGTATTACTGAGCTGCAGTTTCTTTAAGGACAGAGTCTAGCCAGGTATGACAGTGTACACCCATCATCCAGCACTGGGGAGGCTGAGGCAGGAGGATCGCTGAGTTTGAGGCCAGCCTGGGCTACAAAGTAAGCTCAAGGCCAGTCTCAACTGCACAGCAAGACCCTGTCTCAAAGAGACAAAAACAAAAAAAAAGGACAGAGTCTAACTCATCTCTACTCTCCTTGCAGAATGCAGCAGGCTGACTTGCACGGGCTAATCTAATGAAGATCTTCTGAGTGTGCAAGTCTGAAAGTCTTTAGTGCTTTAAAATGAAACCTAAATTCCTGCCCTGGGGCGGAAAAGACTTAAAAGGTTTCGCACTTCTTCTACTTGTTCTGCACCATTTCCCTCACGTGTAAGCTGTGGCCACAGCAGCCGTGGGAGCTCACACCCATGTGCGGCCTTCACTTGCACACACGATCAAAGCAAGGCCAGCCACCTGGCCGTGGGACCCTCTCACGCTCAGGCTACGATGCCTGCTTCCCCCACACGTCTCCTCACTCACACGGGGACAGGGCTCGCTCTGACCCAGTCAATCACCACGTGTCCCCAGGGCCAAGAGCGAGGCACTCCGCTCATAACTGGTGAATGAATGGAAAAAGTGAGAGCATTTTAACGTGGGAGGGATGAAGATGGATACACTCTCTAGGAAAACTTCAGATGCTCCCATCTTTGTGAGAATGAATCACAGTAACACTGCAATGCAAAACAACAAGACGGTTTTCTTTCCAAATTTCATTATTTCACATTTATTAAAATCTGAAATTGTATTATTTTCTGACTGGCCTAAATCCCTATGATTTCTTTAGATATATCTTTGCTGTGTTAAGTCTTACAAAAGAAGTCCACAAGTGATGTTAAAAAAAAGGGGGGGGGGACTCTACATAAGTGATAATATTAACCTGAATTATAGTAAGTCTTACAGAGAGAGCCCAAGGACACTGTTGGAAGAAAAGGTCTAAGTACATGACAGAGTGTAAGTCTTATAGAGAGACCCACCCAAACACTGTTGGAAGAAAAGGAAGTCTGAGTATGTGACAGAGTGTGTGGAGATGACTAAGCTAGAAGCTACATGAAAGAAAGAGACACCAAAGTTGCTGGTATTCTTAAGACAAAATAAAGTACTAAAAATACATTAGTTACAGATAAAAGGTTTTAATTTTCTCCAAATTCTTCTTATAAGAGATCTCTGCTAACTGACCTACAAAAAAAATAATATTAATAATAAAAGGGTTCTAACTAGTCTTTTTATAATTATAAACTTAAAAAATTGAAAAAAATTATTATAATTCAGTTTGGCCAAAAATATATTTGAGTGCACTCTGATTTTATAAGCAAATTGTCTTGTGTATGTGTCTTTGTTTGTCTCTTTGTCTAATCTGTAAACAGCCACTTTGAGTGCAATAAATTTTTCTTTTTTTTTATTTTTGAAGCAATTGTCTGTAATCTAATTTGGCTTATACATAAATGTTATCTAAATTAAAGATATTCATCTACCAAGTTGCCAGCTGGTTAAAATGATGTTAAAATTGGTTTTATAAATGTAATGCTTATTGTTGTTTATGTATTATGATTTGAGAGTCATTGTTCAAAAACTACTGTGTCAAGTATTGTGACTGGATTTTCATAGGACATCAAAAATTTATTAAAATAATTAAACAAAAATCCCTTAGGGTGGGGAGAAACTATTGGACAGGACTCTAATTGATGAATAAGGAAGCGGCCACCTGGAAACATTTCTCCAGTCCTTGGTCATTAACAGAAAGTCCCAATAATCTCCACAGCCTATGGAAGACACCCCAATAAATATTGTTCAAAATATATTATTGTGATATGTTTACACTGGTCATTGTCAGAAGGTTAAGTTTTCAAAAAATAAGACAATAAGGTTTTCTGACTAAAAGATGCTTTGGTACAAAACTAAATTAAGAAATAAAATAATGACAACGTGTTATTATTAATTTCATGGTGTGTTAAATGTATTCATGCTTTCCAAATGCACAGTATTCTAAAATGTAAACAGGGACTGTTTATAATGCTAGACATTTTCTTTCAGATTCAGACATCTGCCTTTCTCCTGTGCTCCAGATATTTGTAATAAGAGGTTCATGTCAGACCAACATGAGGTCATCATTCAAATAATTGTTTAACAAAACTTACGTATATGCTATGTACATGCCACTACATTTAGAGATGCTTAGATATTAAACAGCCCAGACAATGCTACAAATTTCTTCAATGACATCAAATTGTTGTCAAAAGACAACAAATTAGGGGCTGGGGATTTAGCTCAGTGGCACAGCACTTGCCTGGCAAGTGCAAGGTTGTGAGTTTGATTCCCAGTACTGGAAAATAAATAAATAAATAATAAAAGACAACAAATTAGATAAAAGCTTCTTGTATATTAGGTAGGAATGACTGACTAAAAAGGCTATTCTATTCCAAGATGGAGATTTAAATGTGTTTCAAAAATGTCATCATGTCTGTCATGTTACAATACCATGTATGGCTTTTGATTTCAAATTTTCTTTGTAAAACTCTGTAACTGTTGTCTGTTAATATTCTACAGGTTCAACTATTAAAACATCCATGATTGGTAAAAAGTAACAGTTCTCTGGCTATACTTTACATTTCAAGGTGTTTAATACTCAGATAAAATTTTAATAATTAAGTTCACTGCTCCCATTACAGTGCAATGTCATTAACCTTCTCTTCTGGATGTTCAACAACTGAGGTTTGGAGGCCAAAAATTAAAATTATAGATGGGCTAACAGAATAGCCAATATTTTGGCCCCACCCCTCCAAGGTCAATGAGGACCCAGGATATAAAAGAACCTCTGCTGTGACATCCATAACTTGGTTGAGTCCCCAGTCTTCTGATCAAGGAGATTGTGGGACCACAGAGGAAAGTGATTCAGTGATGTATAGTGTGCCTGAACAGAGTCACCTGGAGAGAAAAGTCGCCCAGGCTTTCACAAAAAGCAACTTGGTCAAGCAACGGCAGTGACTCATCCTGATGGCTGACACTGACAGAAGTACTGAGACATGCTGTACATGGTTCCAAGGTAAATCCTGAGGAAATTTAACTGACCTTGACAGATAGCAAGAAATTAATTTTAATTAATATAGGTCTCACTTTAACTTGGTCCTGAACATCTAGGAGAAAAGTATAACTATAAGATGTATAAAACTATGCCATAGTAATACTAAATTCTCCAAAAATTGTTTTATTCTTGCCTAGAGACTGCTAAACTCCAAGTGACCATACGTATAAAACCAATAATAAATATGCTAGATTCCTTCTACCAAGATCCACCAGATTCACCTCATAAAGAGAGTTCATAGCTGGTAAACTACAACAGCACTTATATTTGAGGCCATCAGACTTAGCTCTCTGGAGGGGGCCCTGACCGCAGTTTCCCTTTACATCAACTCTTCTCAGCTTGAAGCAGTTAAGATAAAAACTATGCCCAGTCTCCCCTAACTGCAGTTAGGGATAGCTCTTCAGGAAAAATTTTATAGCCAACTAAGTTAGTTGTGAGTATTACAGACAATTAGACAGGGCTAACTGACAAAAAAGAACATCCAATAAATAAATAAATAAATAAATAAATAAATAAATAACACAAAACAGGATGACCCAGTACAGTTAATAACGTGGGGAGGAGGGTATGTCTGTGTATTAACAAGTCATAAAACATCACTGTGGATGCATCCTAGAACATGTGGTCATAGAGAGAAGAGATCTTCAACCCCATGGTGAAGTCTGCTGCCACCAGACCCATCTTGGATTCTACAATGGACTGATATTAACATGCTTGTTCTTTTACTTCTGTTCTTAATCTGCTACAGAGGATACCAAACCCAACAATGCTAGTCATGTTTCAACTGCTGCAATTACAAAAACAAAGAGGAGGAATTGATGGAGACCACTACAAAGCAGCTCTGAGCAGGATTTAAATTAACCAACTGTTGTCCATGTTTACTTGTGAGTCGCTGATCCCTACTGAGGCCTGTGATGGTGGGTGAAGCCATGAGGCCTCAAAGGACAAGACAAGGCAACAGATGAGGACTTTGGGCTCCAACCCCAACTAACTAAAAGGAGGCTGTAGCTGCAGACACCTCACTCCTGCGATGAAGGCCTTCCTGGAGATAACACAGTTCTCCTAAATTAACATAAAGTATTACTTGGAGAAGTCCTTAAAGAGATTCCCAAGTTCTGCCAGGTTTTGGCATTTTCTTCAGTATCCCCCTCCTTTGTTTGAAAACCTAATAAATATGGGTTACCCAGAGAAGTTCTTGGTCTAAACCTCAGAATCTCCACTTCTGTGAGAGGGTTTGGAACCTCCCGGAGCCCTAAAATCATTTCAGTTGTCTCATTTAAGCCTCCTTCCATATGTTTGGGAGATTTCGGGCCTGATTAGCCCACAATAACTAAGGGATGTCATTAACCCAATAATCTGGTTTCCAGCTGCATTTGCTCCATGAACACTATCATCTTAGTCCTCATTGGTTAGACATTTACAATTCTTCATTCTTCATTCCTTAAAGGAAAAACTGATTCTCCTCTCGCTTCTATGAACACACATCACCACGAAACCAGAAACACAGGCCCCGCCGGGCCAGCACCTGTGGGAGTTGGCGAAGCCTCCCAAGCAGACACCATCCAGGAGGGCAGGAGAGGGACTGAGAAGGAAGAAGGGACAGGGCCCTGGAGGGCAGCGAGGAGCTCGGACTCTGACTTCTGAACCTAGAAGGATGCTAGTGTGTTTCCAAATCCCCAAACAACACTGCTGCCAGGCCTTTTCGAGCTCTCTGGTGCAAGGCCCTCTCTTCCCAGGGAGGAAATGAGACACAGCATGGGAAGAGGCATGGGACAGGCACAGCAGTCAGCTGGCCCAGCCACAGCCCAGAGCTGCGGGCTCTTCCTGAAGCACAGGGTCAGTTTCCTGAAAAACAACCTGAGACTGTGTGCACGCCAGTAAGCGTCCAGACCCAACTGAGAGCTGTTCCCGCAGGAGGAAGCCTGGTTAGACTCAAAATTGAAACGTTAAAGTCAGTAACCACGCAGCCAAGAGTCGGCAGACCCAAAAGGACCAAAAACAAGCACTGGGCGTTAGAAGCACAGGGTCTGTGTCTCCGCTCCCGGCGTCACTCGGGCGAGAGCAGCCACGGACGGCGTGCGGTGGGCACCGACAAGCGCTCACTGCGGCGGCGGCCGGCTCTGCGGGGCCTGGCATCTCGCTCTGCTATCAGGAAGATACACAATTCACTTGTCTGTAGCAGTGATGGGTCCTCTCCTCTCCATATGGGCCACAGATGGTGCGTCACCACACAGCATCTGAATTCAGAGTTAGTCCTGGAATCACTGGAAACCTCGGCCAAGGAACAGCCCCAGTCCCACTTCCGCCTCTGTCCTCCTGCCAGACGGCTTGGGAAGGTGCACTCCGGGCTCTGGCCTCCAGCTAGGAATGGGGCCGGTAAGGACTTCTATCTCTAAGGCCAGAATAAAGCACGAGCTGGGGGCAGGCTGGACAGATACTTTACATTAATCCTACATCATGCTGAAACGATGTCTGTGATCCTGCGCTTCTCATCGAGGACGATGGTGGACCTGATCATCGATGTCCTAACAACTCTCCCTGAGGCCTCAGGCTCCCATCTCCGGTCCAGCACGCAGCTGACTCTGCTGTCACCCAGATGGCTCCCGGTCAGCCCGGTGGTGACCGGTTCTCCCCGCTCCCCGCTCCTGCTGCCAGGGCTCTGTTTTGTTGGAGCTACGACAGCAGCCTCCGGTGTTCCCCCCCACCGCCCCCCGACTGCACGCACAGCCTCTACCTCGTCTCGCATTCTGGCCAGAGTGACTTGTGAACACAACCTCCAAGCCACCCGCAGGAACTCGCTCTGCTCAGCTCCCCTGGCCTCCGCAGTGACATCTAACTGCCAACACAGGGCACCCAGGGGCCAGCACAGCCCACAGAGCTGACCAGCTCCCGTGGGGCATGTACAGGGCTCACACCCAGGGGCGCTTACCCCAGGCTGAGATCCTCCGCCTCTTATTTTTGAGACACGGTCTTGCTAAGTCGCCCAGGGAGCCCCTGAACTTGTGATCCTCCCACCTCCTCACTGCCCTAAGTGCTGGGATCACAGGCTCAAGGTACACACCGTGCCCCACTCCAGCTCTCTCAAAGGAAGCTGCTGGTTGCCCCTTCTGCCTAGAACAGAGCACCGTTGTCCCCGCACCCATCAGCCGGAGAAACAAACCTACCCACCAAGTCTTGGATCAGGTACACCTCTGCCAGGCAGCCCTCCAGACTGCCCCCAGGAGTCACATGTGCTTCCTCCCAGCTTCCCATACAGCTGCGATCCCTCTGACCACAGCCTCCTGCCTCTCACCCATACAACCTCTCTGAGGACAGCGCTCAGGTTTCTATTCCCAGCAGGTCCAGGGCAGGAGCTTACCAATGCTTATTAAATGCATTGATTTTAAAAAGAGCGTTTCCCCGAGAGGCTGGATTTGTAATCTGAGCTTGGATCACTCATTGATTAGCGCTCAGTGCTAAACTGACCCAGCTCTCTAACACCTGTGCCAACAGCAACAAAGACCCAACAGACGACATGGTAACTTACCCATAATCCTCCAAGGCACATCCCAGCATGAGAAACGTCAGCCCGATCGCCCCGCTGAAGGACAGCGCCACCAGAGCTGTGCAGAACACAACCAAGTGTTAAAGGTCCCGCAGCATTGGCAGAGGCCCGAGGGTCCCGGGGAACGGGAGTGACCACTAACGGGACAGAGCTGCTGTGGGGGTGACAAACTGTGGTGGAACTGGATGGCCATGGTAGTTGTGCAGCCTTGGGAATATACTAGAAGTTGGAATTTTACACAAAAAAGGAACAATTTTACAGTACATGAATATATCTCAAAAAACAATTTTACTTAAAAGGGAAGAAAAGGTCCCAAATTTAAGCACATGTTGTATTTATTTATTTCCCTAACTAATGTCACATTTAATAGACTGTGTGCCTGCATACCTCGTAAATTCACACGCAGAAGCCCTAACTGTGGATGGGAAGCGCTCCAGAGGCACCCGGGGAGGCAGGGGTAGGGCTAGACCTCTGTGCAGCGCTCAGTGTCCTTGGAGAAAGAGGCCGTTCCCCTCCCTTGCTCCCCGCCCCTTCACCTCTCTGCAGTCCAGCCGTCCACCGTGTGCACACCAGGAAGCAGGCGTCATCAGAACCACATCCACCCACACCCTGATCGCCACCTGCCTAGCTCCACACCCACGGGAAATGACTAAGCCAGGCCGTCTGATTACAGCCCACCGTGCCCACCCCTCTGTTTATTTGTGTGGCACTGGGGCCTTCGCACTGAGCCGCATCCCCAGCCCTTCTTTATCGTTTTGTGTTGAGACAGGGTCTCACTAAATTGCTGAATTGCCCGGGCTGGGCTCAAACTCTCGACCCTCCTGCCTCAGCCTTCCAGGGTGCTGGCATTACACCATGGTGCCTAGCTGTGTCTGTCACTTTAAATCAAAACCGGAGGAGACAGCAACTGCAGAGTTGAGCAACTGTACACCGGCTGTATGAGTTCCCTCTATTCGCCACTAGAGGCCAGCAGGCCAACCTGTACAACCACACTCCTACCAGCAATCACCTACCTGAAGCCCTGGACAAAAGCAGATGCTCAGTAAATACTGCAGAGGAGGATGCCTGCTGATTTTCTGCCGTGTTCTTTGGTAAAAAGTATAAATCAAAGGAATCAAAAGTACCAACCACTATATTCTCTTACCAGTAACCCTCATAATTATTCACTGATTAAACTAATGATCTTTTTCATTGCTTTTTTATTACTTTTAGAGGAGCCTTGAGAAAATGGCATGGTGCTTTTTAGAAGACACTGGAAGTATACAGATGTTAGGGAACAGAGAAGAGCTGTCCATTTTAACTTGCACCTTTTTACACTCAGTGAACCCATCTTTTAGTGTGAGACAGGCTCTCCCTGTGTAGCTCAGGCTGGCCTCAAACTCAGAATGCTCCTGCCTCAGCTTCCCAAGCGCCATCCTTACAGGCACTTCTCAATGGGATGTAGGGCGGGGAGGGAAAATAACTTTCCACACAGTGTTTCATTAGACGACCTTTTCCTAGCTGACTCTGCCTCCCTCCTCTGGGCCTGACCATCTACAACACTTCTTCCAGGACCTGGCTCGGAACCAGAGGCCTCTTCTTTCTGTTCTGACACCAAGCTCTCAAAGTTCACAACTGTACTTCTGCCCAATTCTTTTTAGCCCTTCTTTATGTTGGGGTTGACTGAGAACTCAATCCCACTTCTGCTGAGAATTTGCCAACCCCAGACTCCTGGCACAGGGCCAGCCACATGCGGGGCTGCAGCCCACAGCAGGTCCTGAGAGCCAGGCGTGCACTTCCACGCCAACCGCGGCCTTCTCTGCCTGCGAAGCCAACCCAGAGAGGACCTCAGACTCACTTCGTGTAACTCAGAGCCACGCCCCCACCCACTCCTCCCACACAGCGCCGCAGGTCTTCCTCTGCGCCCCGGCTCAGAGGACTGACACCAGCCACGCTCCACCTTCCAGCAGAGCACAAGGCGAGGTGGCGCAGTGATCCCCACTTCGTTCAATCCATCCACCCCCTTTGCCTGAACTCTCTGCCATGGACCAAGCGAAGGTCCTCACATCGCTTGCCTGCCGCCACTGCGACTCTTCCGATGAATCCTCCAAGCACGACTATACAAACACATTGGCGGGTGCCACCGCTTTGCGATGCCTGCACAGCCGACAAGTAGTTCTGGCACCTGACACTCACCACGGTCTGACCCCTGCCTGCTCTCCCAGCTCTAATTCTCCCACTCCCCAAGTTCCTGCAAAGAACAAGGCATGTTCTTTCGTGCCCTGGGCCCCAATCACAGGCTGTGCTCTCCACTGGGAGTACACTGCACCCCCGCCCAGGCCCCTAGCAGAAGCCTTACCGACCCCTGCATTCAGGCGTTGCCTCTCCCGTGAACAGTCCTCTTCCTCCCTGCAGCTAACCTCCCTGGGTGAAGAAAGTCCACTTCTATTTGTTTCCTAAGGCTGCGGTTACAAAGTGCCATTAGCTGGTGACTCAGAACAACAGAAACAGATTCCTGCAGTGTTCCGGGGGTGAGACTTCTCAAACCAAGCGCTGGCAGGGCCGGGCTCCCTCCAGAGGCTGCAGGATACAAGCTTCCTCCCCGCTTGCGAACACAGCCGTGGCCAGCCCTCTCTGGCGCTCCTCCCACTGCTGTATCACTCCGATGTCCGCTCTCATCCTCATGTGATGCGTGTGCTCCCTGTACGTCTCCACGTTTAAATTTCCCTCTTCCTAGAAGGATACAGCTCCTCGGACCAGTGCCCACCCTATGTCAGTGTGATCTTCACTTGCTTACACACCACACACACACAGTAATTCTTTCCAGCTGTCACTCAACAATAACTCATAACCCTCATTACCATTTTATCCCAAGTATCCAACACACATACAGGTGCTCCTCCATAAAAGCTGAACTTGCTGCAAAATGCTTCCTTCTCTTAGTCATTTTCCATTTCACAGCCCGCTTTCCTTCTTTCCTGCATCTCAATTTCTAACACACCGCACACAACACTGGCACTGTGCGGTAGCCTCTGATCGTGACTACACGCTGTGTCCTACTGAGACACCTGTCTTCTGGCTCCCGCAGTGGCTTCACAAAGATGTTCTGCACACCGGACACTGTCCAAGTAAACCATGCTTACTCAACTGATACTCAGTGCGAAAGTCAGCCAGAAATGATAAGCTGTATTGCTGCTAACGGCTCACACAGATAAATTGCAGGGCGAGCACTCACGCCCCTGCGCGCAGGTGTCTTACACACTGCACACATGCTGTCAGCGGACGCTGATGACCAGCAGAGGGTCGATCCCCGCACAAGTAGCAAGCACTTCAGGAACGCAGGCGCAGCAACAAGTTATGCTACTCTAAGACCAAATTACAGGCAGCCTCGCCATCACCTCTTCCCGGACTTCACCCGGAACCTCGGAAGGCCCAGAAGTGTGGCTCCTGGTCCTCTCTGCGTCACCTGCCCCATTCAAAGACACCTAAGAGAGTGACGCTGGGTCCACCCAGGCTGGGCTCGGGGCTACGACGGGGACGCCGCCCTGAGTGCGCCCCATGCACACCGCCCGCAGCCGACTCGGCCCATACGGGACGCCTAGCACCTGCAGACAAAGGGTCCTCGGAAAGTGCGGGGACGGGGCGGGGTCGGCGTGCAGGAGGAGAACCCGGGGGCCGCGGCCCTAGGCGACGCTCCCGGCCCGCGGGGTCCCCAAGGGCTCCGCCCGGGACGCCAGGGCCTTGGGAGGAGACCGAGGGCCCGACACGGTCCTCCGGCGCTCCGGCACGAGGGGAACGGGACGCCCTCACCGCAGAGGGGACGGGCGGGGGGCCCGGGGACCACTCGCCGACAACCGGGTGCGGAGGTACCTTTCACACCCGCCATGGCTCCAGCGCTGGGCCGCGGCTTCTTCCGGCTTCCCCTCGGCGCGGGCCCGCCCCGCCCAGGCCGCGCAGAACCCCGCCCCCGGCCCGTGGAGCTCCGCCCCTACTGGCCCTGAGTCCTGCCACTCAGATCCCACCCCTGCCGGCAAGAAATTTGCCCCGAGTTCCCAGAGCTCCGCCCCTACCAATCCTGATCCCTATATGCAAAGGCCCGCCTCCGCAATCCATAGCTCCGCCCTCGAGCCACGGAGCCCCGCCCCTATCAAACCTGATCCCGCCTCCTCCACGTAGACCCCGCCCTTACTGGCCTAGAGCCAGACTTTTTCCCGTGGAGCCTGATCCCTGCCACCTGCGATTCAGTGACAACGAACGCGCCTCCAACGGCCACAGAGGCTCTAACCCGCGGAGCTCTGCCCAGCCCGCCAAGCAGAATGTCTCCCCTACTGATCCTCTTCCCTTTCACTCGGAGCCCCGTTCCCAGTTCCTAGAGTCCCGTTCCGGTCAACTCCTATCTGGATCCTGCCTCCGACACGGGGAGTGCCACCCTCACTGCCCTAAAACCTGGCCTCCAGGTCTGAGTCCCGCCCCGTCAGCTTATAGCCCCGCCTCCAGCCCGCAGAGTACCGCCCCCAACGGCCCATAACCCCACCCCCGGCACGCAGAATCCACCCCCACCAGCCTACAACCCTGCCCCTGGTGCAGACCCCCGTCCCTCTCAGCCTACAACCACGCCCCAACCCGCAGAGTCCCGCCCACCGCAGCACATAACCCCGCCCTAGTCCTCAGAGCACCGCCCTGTTATATAACCCCGCCCAGTTCTCAGAGCCCGCCCCGTGCACCACGCATAACCCCGCCCCATTCCTCAGAGTCTCGCCCCGCCCGCATAACCCCGCCCAGTCTTCGGAGTCCCACCTCCCTCTGCACATAACCCCGCCCCGGTCCTCAGAGCTCCACCCCCCAGCTTCGTCCCGACTCCGCCCTCTCCCCCCACCAAGCCTCATGCGCATGCCCAGCCTCTGCGTGCCTGGGGTCCGCGTGCTCGCAGCCGCCGCGACGGGTGGGAGGAACCGGAAATGGAACTGGAAGCGCGGTTCCTGGCGGGCTGCGGCTTCCGGCCAGCGGGACCTCGGCGTCGGATGCTCACGGTCCTGACGCTGCTGCGGGTCGGCTGGGCCGACTCCACCAGGACAGAGGGCGCCGGGATGGAGGCGCTCGCTCGCGACTGGAGCCGGCTGCGTGTGCGGCCGCGCGCTGAGCTGGGAGGCCGCGTCCTGCCCCGTCTCTCTCCTCGGCGCCCGGGCAGCTCCGCGTGGCCTGCGAGGTCGGCCCGGGCCCCGCGGCGGGAACCCCCGCCTTTGGGGACGGCGACGTTTGCCCGCGGTGCGGGGCGGAATCGGAGACGGTTGCGCTTCTCCGGCACTGGGAGAAGTCGTCTTGCTGGGGACTCTGACGTCTCCCGAGAAACTGCTTCGCCCTGCGGCATTGTGCTTCCCCTCCCCCGCCACGCCCCCGGGGCACGACCCCCGCCGGCTCCAGCTGCCCCTGGGATGCTGCCCTGCGAAACGTTCTCGTCGCCCTAAACCTATAAAACAGAGATGAGATTTATTATCACTTTACAGCTGGAAAAAATCAAGGCTCCCGTAGTAACTAGGGAGCAAGAAAGCCGAGCTCAGTGCCCAGTTAAAATCAGCACCCGAAGGGGCTGGGGATTTAGCTCAGCGGCACAGCGCCTGCCTGGCAAGTGCGAGGTCGTGAGTTCGATTCCCGGTACCGGAAGAAAACAAAACAACAACAACAAAAGTCACACCCGAACTAATCCCCCGGATCAGGCCCCAACACGGCAGGCGCTGTCATAATTAGAGGTAACAGGACACCTGTGTGCGGCGGGCTCGACGCTGCCTGGTGATTGGGGGCGCCCCTGGGGGCAGGGTACTGCACACAGTCCGCACCAAGTACGGGTTCAGTTATCTCTGGAGGGAGCACGAGGCCTTGCTCGCTCGCAAAGGGTCACTGCCAAACCCAGAACACCCTAACATATGTGATGGCCGTTGCATATGACGGGGCCTTCACAGGGAGACCCAGAGGCTAAAGATGGAGTCTGCACTTTGATGCTTCAGTTCAGTAAAGCAGGGACAGCCATCGAGGAACACGGCGGGCAAACTCGGCCTCACGGTGCGGCCTGCCTTCCTCTTGGCCCGGGCAGAGCCCTCCTGGAGGCCGCGATCTAGCGACCCACGAGCAGACCAGGTAGGTCAGAGAATGTCCTCCTAGGCAGGAATGGAGAAGGGAAGTCGGACACTTGGAGATTTGAAGGCTGACATTTAGGGAAGGGGTCTGCTTCCTGGGATGCCTTGGGGAAGGGGAATTTGGGCTTCTCTGACTTGGCTTCTGGAAGGGAGGATCTGCCTGCAACCCCCAGCTCTGCTCAACTTCCCCATGCGTGTTTCCCGAAGTAGGTCTTAGGAATCCAGCATTCCAGACGTTTTTTGTGAATTAAATGAGAAAAGGCGAGCGCATGTGTGCACACGTCAGACAGTAGCTGCAAGACAGAGGTCACATATCACATCTGTCCTGGGGAAGGCTCTCGGGTGCCACATAAATAAAATACAATTACGATCCCACACTAACTGAAATCAGAAATGTCGGTTTTCCTTTCTGAGCCAGCTCTTGCTCTGCACAGCGGTTGCCCGCATAGCAGCTGCAGTGCGAGCCTCTGCCCGGCTGCAGGCCGATCTCTGTCAGCCGGGGTGCAGGTCCCCTTCCAGTTCCCGTAGCCATGCCTGCCGTCTGTGGGTCCTCACCATTCCAGCCCCAGCGCACCTGTCGCGGTAGAATGTCTTAGCGGCAGTGACAGTAGGGTTTACTGAGCTACCACTTGACAAGAATTTGTACACATGCCCCCGAGGCTGTGAGAGTTTATGACTCTTGTCCAATCTCACAGTCCATAATTAGAAAATTCAAGATTCAAACCCAGTCTTTTAGTCTCAGAACAACATACAAGAAGTGACCAGAACATACAGTGACTGTTTAAACTTTTTAACAGTAAAAGACACACTGCCATGCACCACCCGCCAGAATCATCTCCTTGCTTTAAACACTTATCGCACCACTCTTGCCACTTTCTGCAGCAGCTCTGGAAGTCCTGAGTCTCTATGAGGTGTGATCAAAAACACAGTGAAGGCTGCCGCTGTGCGCCATCCAACAGAAAGCAGCTCATAAAAACACGACACTGTCCTCATCCACCTTATGCACTGGATCTGGCACCGTGTGACTTCTAGCTCCTCCCCAAAGTCAAAATGACCATGAAAGGAAAACAGTTTGCATCAATTCAGGACATTAAGGCAGCCAACACCGCACAACTAAAGACCCTTACAAAAGAGGACTCCAGAGCTGCTGCAGAAAGTGGCAAGGACAATGGGACGAGTGTGTTTGAAGCAAGGGGGAAATCTGAGGGGAGTTAATGATACTGTCTTTCGATACTGTCTTTTACATACTAGTGTACCTGTACACTCGTATGCCCAAACACCACAGCTTAGAACCAGCAAAACCAGTTTATTTGACCTACGTTCCCTGGTCAGCGTTTCCAGGAGGGAGACTGATCGCTTGGCTGTGGAAACTGTTTCTGGAATTCCACGTCTGTGCTTCTTCGTTCCACGGTGGTGTCTGCTCGGTGGCATTAGGGTTCAACCTGAGCATTCTTCCTGAGCGCACCGTGCTCCCGCGGTTCAGATGCTTCCATTATAGCACAGGTTTGCAAAGGAATATGCGGCCTTTGTCCTCAGAGAACTAAATATTGGAGAGTTACTTCTTTTCTGAAAAAGCCCCAGACCCCAGGATCAAAACTGCCTCGGCACTTCTGGAAATCCTTCAGCTTTCTAGCTAAGCAACCTATGGGTTTCTATGCTGGTTCTTTTTGATCCGTAATATCATGATCAAAAGGCATGTGTGTGTTGTATGTCAGGAAAGGAGTGCTTAAAGTATAAATCCAGAAATCCTGTCTGATTCCCTTTGGTGCAAAAATATTACATGCTTTTCATATTCTCTCCCCAAAACTTTCCTTATAAGTGAATCATCTCTGATCCTACAAGTGCAAAAAAAACAGGTTTCTCAAAATATTTTTGAGCCTTTTAATATACATTACAAATATTTTAGACCAATCACATTTTGTTGTGTATAACATATTTACAAACAAAAATATATTACAATAAATATGAATGAAACAGTGAATCTGATCAACATCAAGCTCTGTCACAACCAGATAATTAAAAGGAATGCAAAAAACATGTTGGCCTGCATAAGTTAAGAGTTTTAAGATAAATAGGGGTCCAGAATTATAATGTATCTGGAAAAAAGTTGAGGGAAACCCCCAAATTTAAGTTAAATAAGATCCTTTCTCATTGCTAATTACAGAGGGCTTAATGCTGTTTTTAAACTGTTAATGAATTATTCAAACATAATACAAAGCTAATAGAGTCCTATCATTTCAAAATGTACATGACATCCACATAGTGCCTTTTAATTATCATTATATACTCTAGTTCACACAATATCTACAGATGTGAATGAGGAAAAAATAATGGGTCACAGCAACGTGTCTCACATTCCAATTTTAAATAAGACAAGCACATAGTGGGTCAAACATTTTACAATACGTTAATAAATAACACCTAGTTATGGTTACCTGGAACAGTTTCGGCTGTATATTTAAAAAGAACATTTTCTGCAACTTTCACATTGTCAGTAAAGAAAAAATAAATAATGAACCTTTATAGCCAAAAAAAGATCTCTATGTAGAACCTAAAGTATTTTTGACATGCTGTCTTTTCTATAGTTTGCTGCAAGAAAATTAAAGCAAACAAAAAATGATTGTCTTTTAAAAACAACTTTTGAAGCTTTTCACAAATTGAGCATGAACCCTTTAAGATGAGCATGGAAACCTCCTCTTGCCCACCTGCTCTGTGCATATATATATGATATATATTATGCACACTGTACCTATGCCACTCAGAGATCTACTGAAGTCACAGAAGAAAGAACTGCTTATCTCAATAGGAGAACCAGCCCAACACACAGCACTAAAATCCAACCAGGCTGCGGCCTGGAAGTTTCAGTCTTGCTTTGCTTTCACAAAGGTCCCTTGTGTGAATGTCATTCATGTGGGCCTCCATCTCCCTTTAAAACAATAAACCCCACTGCAAAAATCCGGGGTCCAAATTCATCAGGGGAGGGGGGACCTGGTCCCTTAAAGCAAACACTGGCAAAGCTCCTGAGTCGGTCAGAAGGCGGCGCGGCGCCGTGTGCAGCCCCTCCCCCGAGCAGTGCTGGGGTACCTGCCACCCCCTTGCGCCCGGCTGCTCACTCGCCCTGCAGAACTGAGTCCACACCAGCCTCGGGTCCTGGCAGACTGCGAGTGGGCTGCCTGCTTTATGACCTGCTTCCTGCTAAGAAAATTTTCTTGTCAAAGCAAAAGAAAGAACACTAAGCCTTTATGGCAAATTAGAAGTGTCAGTCTTCAAATCAGGTTTGAAGCTGCTCTGATAAGACTTTTTCTTTCATCAACCACAGTTTCTGAAGGGAAAGGAAGGCAGCAACCCAACATCCCGACCACAAGATATCTACACCCTCCCAGTTTCCGTGCTCTTCAGCAGCTCTGCACTAGGGGAGTTTTCCCGGGAAGAACTGCTAGCAGCCTAAGCACTCCCTCTAATCCAGTCCCTTCTGTCAGTGCTCTTGCCAAGAGGCATATACAGTATGATGCTACAGGCCGTAGGAATTAAAAGAAAATACTTGGTGGTTGTGTTCCTGGAATCTGTGCAAAGCCTTCGTTCAAATTATATCTTTCCAGGGAAAACTGAAAACCATTCTTTAAAACCATCAGGCAACCCTGTTAGGGTGACTTTCGCTCCTCAGTCTCCTTCACAGACAATGAGATGGACGACTCGCCTTCCTCTTCGGTGGCCTCAATTTTCCATCTCCCCCCAGCTACCCGCCAGGCAGGCTCCCCAAAGGGCAGGCGGGAATGTCGAGCCTCTGCAGGACCACCCCACTAAAGTCCCTCTCATGCTTTGGCTCTTTTATGGCTGGAAGAAACCAAACATCCACAGTCCTTACCGTGAGAAATTAATTCGTGAGTAACTTAACAGTTTAGTACTGGAAATACATTACTGGCGTTTTTCATTCGTCTGTGCAAACCTCGGAATTGTGATACACACTAAGCATTAGCACAGGTCTGCAGCTGAGATACAAAGGCGCACACATTAATACAAGGGCTTTTGTCCTTGGTTTTCAAATTCAGACCAGGCATCATTGAGCTCCATGAAAATCATCTTTGCATACTGTTCATACGGTTGCCCGGTAGCCTATAGAAGAAAATGGAAACACACGTTAGTCCCACAGACCAAAACTATATTTATATTAAATTCACTGCTAATACGGATTCTAAGTCATGGAAAGGCATCTCTGTTAAGATACTTCTTTTTTTACAGCCTAATCGAGTGACAGCGATCCTTTTAGAGCTCTCACTGATAACAGACATCCTGCCGCGGCATGTATGCCATAGGTTTGCCGCTGCTGGCCTAGTCCATGTGACTTAATTACCCTGGCCTCCCTCCAATGCCACCCACCTGGAAGTGCGCATGGAGGTAATAATCCATCAATAAGTGGACAATAAGGAACTTGGCGGCAAAGACCATACTCATCCTCCAGAGTTTCTACCAAACAACAAAGTCTACTCGCAGCTTGTCTGCCATGGATTTTTTTTTTTTAACCAGGAATCGAAATCAGGACCTCACACTTGCCAGGCAGGCACTGCATCACTGAGCTACATCCCCAGCCCCATGGACTGTATTTTTAAACTGCCATTTTCCAACTTCTAAAAAAGTTAGGCTTTTTGAGAGTCATTACAGGGATATACAATTGGTGGATTTTTCTGGGTTCCTATTTCTCCTTCAAGTGATCAAAATTCAAGGAAGTTGTTTCTCATTAAATCTTCTATCCAAAATCATTATTAAAAAATAGTGGAGAGATGGAAATCATGGAATCCACGAGTGTTACCCAGAGGCCCTCCAATCATAACTTCATGTGCTAGGACGGGGACAGTTCAAGGGACAGCAGGACTTGCTTCTGTCTTGGCTTAGAAGCTTATGAATTTTGACGATTTCACCTGGGCCATGGGTAACCAAAGTTTCAGGCAGTGCAGTCCACGTACATGCACACATGCACTGAGGGAAACGTGAGCTGGCAGAATCAAGGTCATGATGGGTTTGGCTTAAAATTTGATTAATCACCACCACTTCTGCCAGCTACATTCCAGAGCTTCTACCCGACCGTCCTGGCTAAACGTACTGCTCTATCTCCCAAGGGGAAGTTTCCTTTGTGTAGCTGTCAATCTCATCTTACTCTCGCAGGTCAGGCTTACATGGAAACCTTAAAAAAGGAGTCATGCTGCGCTGTATCCGTGAACGTTACACCTCTGCAAATGAAGCCCCCACCCCACTGTCTGTAGTACACAGCGTGATTTCTTTTTGCCCACTTCATGAAGTGTAACTGTTTGTTTAAACACCTGATTGTAACCCACAGACTTAGTTTTATTAAATAAATAACTTAATAAGCCAGCAAATGGAAACTGTGATGTTTTAATACATGCTCATACAGCAGAGAGCTGGGCATGGTGGTGCACACCTGTAATCCCAGCACTCAGGAGGCTGAGGCAGGAGGGTTGCCGCAAGAAACCAAAAAGTAGAATGAAATCATGCAGTGAGGAACACAGCAGTGCTGGGCAGCAGAGGCCATACCCACCTTGTCTGGGTGCACCACCAGCACGGCCTTCCGGTACACTTTCTTCACCTGCTCTGGCGTCACCAAGTCCGCCATGCCTACGGGTTTCCACTTGGTCTCCCCAGCCCACAGCACCGTGTGCATCGTGGACAGAAGGGCTCTGATGTTCCTCTCCTTGCCTTCTATCCACTCCAGAATCTGGAAACGCAGGGGGAATTGAGAAGCGGAGATGCTTTCTGTTCCAGACGGTTCTCCCAGGACTCTGGGAGCTCATCCTTCCCCAGAAGCCTCCCTGCCGTCCCTCTCCCTGGGATGCTCTGCACCTCAGGAGCTGCACACGGTTCACCCGTGTCCCTTCCTCTTTGGCCCCTACAGTTCATGGTACGCTCCTACAGGATAAACTCCCCGAGGTCACAGCTACATCCACCTTACTCCCTGAACTAAATAAATATCCTCTTTCAAAGGGCTCAAGCCACCTTGGCCGCTCTGCGTTAACCCTGTTCTTGTCACGGTGAAGGCCACACCCTGGCGTCACTGTGTGGGGACTTGCCGAGAAGCGAACGGTTAAACTACAGGACAGAAGCCACCGATCATTCAACTGCGGGACAAAAGCACATAGGCTCTGTGAGAAGGGACGTTAAAACAGCAAGAAGTTCAGTGAGTGAGGCACGCTGTGTCCGGCCACTGTCCTTCCCCGTCCCCCAGGAAAACTGCCCAGCCTCGGACAGCTGCCACCCAAACTGCCGTTCTGCTTTTTCTCCTACACGGATATTCTAAGTAACAGCCAGAGTCTCAGTCAGAGCTCTTTTCTCGGGGGAGTCTCCCGGACACTGGGCGCTCTCGTGACGGAGGTAAGTCTTGTCTCCGAGTAATCATTCGTCCTCTACACCGCCCGCATCACACGCTGCGACCCCGCTGTGTGCTCATCTGCTCGAGGAACAGCTGCGTGGGGAAAGGTTCTGAGACAGCACCAAGGTGAGCACGCTCCCTGTGCGCAGGGCCAGTCAGAAAAGTGCTCTTTCGGACCAGTCAGAAAGTTGTTATTTTCGGTCCTTTATCTGAATCCAGCACTGTCCACAGGACCAATCCGAAGACGCCCTTTTCGAGTCTTCACTTTCATCTGGACACCACCCATCAAAAGGACACTGCTTTTGATCCTTATTTGCATGTAACAGGAAGCCGAGTAAGACTTCTGATAGGACAGTGACGCCAAGCGAGTGTTCGATAGGTCAGCTTTCTCCATGCTTTGCGTACAGCGAAGAGAGAAGCGGGGGACTCGGTAGAAAGGACCCCTCCACCTTATCCTGGGGGGCACTGTGACCCTGTTCACTGGCCCCTCTCACTCTGCCCAGCTACTTCTCTTCTGCCTTCAAAATGTACGCTGGTGCTGCCTCTTCTGTGAGTCTTGTCCACTTCTTTCTTTGGGACGCCAGAAACTGGGCAAGAAGCCCAAGGGCCCTCCACCCTGTAACGGTGCTGCCTCTGCTACCACCTCGGTCAGCAGCGGAACTGTAGCTACCTCAGAGCACAGCGCCAAGCCACTGCTGGGTGAACGGATGCATTTAGTCATTTATTCAGATTACAGCCGTTCATAGGTTGGCTATCCGTGGTGTGAACAAATGAGACGATTAGGTTGAAAACATTACAGAAATGCAACAGTCTTTTAGCTCCTCGAGGAGTTCTGCTAGTGGTTGCCTTTGGGTAGATAATGGTTCAATCATGGTTGATCTCGGGCTTCTCCCCAACATTAAATTCCCTGTATCGATCAAATAACCGAGCGTGGTTTTTTAAAAAAAAGCTTTCTTCTACAGAGACCTGTCAGACTTCGCGGGGCCGCAGCTGGAAGTGTTCGGCAGGGGTGACCGTGAAGTCTCGGTGATGTTGTGTTCCATAAGAAACAAATGCAAATGCAGAGTCCTACATTATATTTTAGAAAAATATTCAAGGCTCTACAGCTACTACCAGATCTGTCAGGAAAGGATGGAGGGGGAAGTGACAGTGGTATTTTTTCTCAACACACACAAAACTGATTTGTGGTGGAAGGCCTCCTTTTGGAGATGCGAGATGCAGCGACAGGCCCCGTTCCCTGTACTGTCAGCCTATTTCATGTTCCCTCACGTGGGAATGCAACCTCACCATCTGCGGCCTTACACCACTCCTCACCCTAACACCACCCCTCACCCTAACTGCCTCCCGTCTCCAAGCTACTCTGCGTCCATCTACACACAAATGTCCTTCTCTAGGAAATAACGGCCCTAAGATTCACTGACTTGCAGAGGCGTATTTTTTCCCAAAGTGAAACTCACCTAGACCTTCAGATTCAAAACCAGATACAAATAGAATTGCTTGGACTTAAAGGTGTAACGAGGAGAAGAGGGGAGGTCAAGTGCCACACTCCGTACAGCCTCCCTCAGCACCTATCCTCCAGCCTCAGGTTAGGAGCGTAATATCCCAGTGCATAAATATTTCTCTCTCTATCCTCAGAGAACACATCCGGGGCTTTCTGTCAACACAGTCCAATCCAAAGCTTCCAAGACAGAAGGATACAAACAATGCATTCTTCCCCACACCAAATTCTGATGATTCATCCTCTGAATCTGAGTAACAAACACATCTTAAAGAATGCCAGGGAAACAAAGGAATTCTGTACAGTGTTACCACACCATGGGCCAAAACTTATCACGTTAAAGAAATTCAAGAAGAAAAAGCAATTCAGCAGCATGTGCGACTCTTCCCATGCTGTTCTGCAACAAAAGGGCACAGCTGCACACACACCACTGCCCCCAGGACCGACTGAAATACGACAGCTGCCAGAGCACTGTCCCTTCCGAAGTGCTGTGGTTGGAAGGTCTGTTTCCCTCCTCGAGTTCACTGTTCAGATCCTAACCCCCAGGTGGTGAAATGAGGAGATAGGGCCTTGGGGAGCTGATCTCACATCAGGTTAGCTACTGGAGTCGAAGCTGTACAGGGTTAAGTTGCTGGACACAGGACCCTCTGGCTGTGTTGGAAAAAAGCACATGCATGGTGCCCTGAAGTCAAGATAACCACAGCTGGGACAGCCGAGGACACGGGCTGCTCACACCCCCTAGTCCAGGGAAGCAAACCTGCCTAGTCCCTCCCCTGCTTCCTGTCACTTTCCAGCTCTGCCCAATAAACCTGCCTGAGCCTCAGGCCAACACCCCTTGACGTGCTTTCCAGTGATAAAGCGCTGACGACCCTGGTTTGTGGGGTGCGCTGAGGTTCCGTCTCCTCAGTCCCTGCCAAGTTTGTCACGCGACCTGTCCTACGGCGTTTCACACCGAGTGAGGGGTTTGCTCACCTTTAACTTTTCCGGATCCATCTCTTTCGCCATCTCCTCCTTCCTCATCTCAGCTATTGTTCGAGGTCCCTTTTTGTCTTTGTGAGCATTGAAACCTTGACTCGAAAGGAGGTCTTCGAAGTCAGCTGCTTTTTGTTTCCCTTCTGCAACACAATTTTTGAAAGTCATTGTAGTTTTTATTCTGAAATACAATATGACATCATGGTCTCATAGGACTTAGGGTCCTCAAAGTGCTTTATAGGCATCAACCCCCTTAACCCTCACACTTACACTATGAGTAAGGTAAATGATTCTCATGCCCATTTTACAGGCAGGGAAAATGAAGTCCAGAGAAGTTAAGAGACCTGTCCAGTTCATGTGCATGGCAAAGTTAGGACTGGAGTCTGGGTCATTAAATTAAATCCAACCCCACTTCCCTTGTACCTTTCTTTAGATGAAGAAATCTGTGATTCCTCCATCATAACTAATTAGTGCTGGGGAAGCGGCAGAGGCTGGAAATGCATGTAAGTCCGCCTTCTGCACCGCGCCAACCAAGGGTGTTAGCTGCTCCTAGCGCCCTTCCCCTACACTTCCGGTTGTGGCCTTGCACTCTTTGTCAGTCTATTTGGAGAGACAGCCTAGCACAGCGGCAGGGAGCAAAGACTGGGCTGAGCCCCACAGGGCTGAGGTTCCAGCTCTGCCAATTGTTAGCGATGTGGCCTCAGGCAGGCTACCTGCATGTCTAGCCATCACGTTAGTGCTGCGGAAAGGGACCTGTGTCTTAGCACGAAGCGTGGCAATGCCAGGCCGGGGCTCTGCAGCCAGGGAGCCAGGATTTAAACCCTGGCTCTGCCACTACCCAGTTGTATAGACTTAAGAAATTAATCCTCAGATCTGCGACACAGATTCTTCATGTTTTAAAGATTATGCAAAATAATATGAAAACATGAAAAATGTGTGAATATCATGAAAAATGCCTAGGATAGCAACTGGCAGGTAGCACTCGTGTGACCCAGTAAGTGTCAGCTGCTACTATCCAGAAGACTAGAACAGGTGCCTTTCCATAGAGAGACAGGCTGGTCCCTTCCTCTTATTCTCGAGTATCTCACTGTAGGGTCTGATCATAAGAAAGACTTAATAGGGGGCTGGGGATTTAGCTCAGCGGCAAAGCGTCTGCCTGGCAAGTGCAAGGTCGTGAGTTCGGTTCCCGGTACCGGAGAAAAACAAAAACAAAAAAAAAAAAAGAAAGACTTAATAACCAGGACATTTGCACCCCTCTCACTGGGGCCCATGGGAAAATCCAAACACCATTCCAGAAAGGGGCCCAACCTTTTTCTCCCACCCCCTCTCCCAAAAGAGTAACAACTTTAAGATTCAGCCACTGCTCCCCTAGCATTATTGCCTACTATACATTATTGCCTACTATACACCATGCAAATCGTTTCTGATAATAATGTGCAAACACAGCACATTCCCTGCCTTCCACAACACTCTAGTTGGGAAGGAGGCAGACAAGTGAACCAGCAGTCACACAGTGGCACAAGGTGTTCATCACAATCAGTCAACCTGAACAGGTTAAGAGTGCCCAGCAGATCAGCAGAGCACAGCTCCGGGTGTGTGTGGGTGATTGACATCCAGGCCAGCAAATGGAGTGGAGAGTCCCACCCCACATGTGGGTGGCACCAACCAATAGGCATCTAACGTAGATGGAATAAAAAGGGAAAGAAGTGTCCCCATTTGTACTGAGCTCCAGTCTGCACCATGGCCTTTGGACATCAGTCTCCAGTTTCTTCAGTCACTGGTGACTCTGCTAGGAGCTTCTAGGCCTTTCAACCTTGGGCTGGTGCTGCATTCTTGAACCTTCTTGTTCTGCGTCTTCCATCTTGAGCTAAGCAGCTGGTGGATCCTCTGCTTCTCAGAACACAGATGGCCAGTGTGGACTCTGCCTCTGATCCTGTGAGCTATCTGATAAATTCCCTGGCACAATCACACATCATTCTCCATGGATTCTGCTCCTCTAGAGAATTCCAACTAATGCGACATGTTTGGAATCACATAGCACGCCCAGGATGCTCCAGGTAGAGCACTGAGAGAAAGGGTCTCGTGGCACCTCCACAACCACAAGGTTGCCTTGGAAACCACTAGATTTGTTTCCTATCTCCTTCAGACACACAAACCCAGGCAGCTGACAACACACACAGGTCACTACATGGCTAGGCGCCACCCTATCATCCTTACCCAAATTAGCGGGTCCTTTCCCACGTTCACCCTGGCTCCCAGGCACAGAAGAGAAGCTCACGTTGTAGTTGGGCCGGTTCTGGGGCGAGGAGTGTGGCATGCTGGGCTGTGGCTTAGACTGTGACTGCTGCCAGCTGTAGCCACCCCCTTGCTGCCACCCACTGCCCATGGGCTGGGGAGAGGCTCTCTGTGGCGAGCTGAGAGGTGGGAATCCTCCACCCAGGCCAGTGGGTGTGGTGGGTTTGCTGGCAAATGAAGAGCTGCCTACAGGAAAACAAGGGAGAAAGATGTTACGGTTTAGATTTAGAATGTCCCACGTCTCATGTACGTGGAGGATGACTGGATCACGGACCCCATGCCTCAGTGGATTCGCCCATGGAAGTGTTAACAATGAACGTGCTACCAGGAGGTGAAGCCGGGTCGGAGGCGGTCCCTGCGGATGTGACCTGCAAGGCTGCATCCGTGGCCCTGGCTCCTTCCTTCTCTCTCTGCTCCTGGCCACCATGGGGTGAGCAGCTTTTCTCCACCGAGCTGTTTCTGCCTTGGAGCCACAGGCCATGGACTGCACCCACTGGAATCATGAGCCAAATAAACCTCTGCTCCTTTAAATCCCAGGAGTCCAGTGTTCTGTTCCCGGTGATGGGAAAGGGACTAATGCAAAAGGCTTTTCTGAGGCGCCTCTAACATTTGTATCTCAAGGTGTTATTCACAATAACCTTAGTGGAGACCTCCTTCACCCATAATTACCCTTCCTGGTAAATAAACTGCAGACGTATCTATTATTTCTTTGATTCCCACAGCAACTTGTTGAAGTCTGTGTTCAGAGCCTCCTATTTTCATCAGATGAACAAATAGCTGCTTAAGTGATTTTCTCAGAGTCGTACAGCCAGCACATGGCAGCACCAGGACTTGAGTCCAAACCTTTGACTCCACAGCAGACGAGCCCTGGCTCCTCCCACTGTGCCACCCCACCCACCACCACCCCCCTCACCTTCCCTAGAGTGAAAACTGCTGCATGACGAAGGCCGGGACGAAAACCTTTATTTAGGTGCCGCTTAAACTCCAGCCGTCAGGATTAGTCACTGCTTTTTGGAAGTGGTAGAGGTTGCGGCTCAGAAAGAATACCGACAGGCTCACAATCACACAACTAGTTAACGGAGCCTAACCTGACCGCAAGCATCCTGCCTCCCTTCTCCTTCTGAAATCCTGTTTCCTCCCCAAAGCTCTCAGCCTTCGCTACAAGCCATTCCACTGTCTCTCTCTGTTAGCGCTACTTCCCTTCTGTTCTGATTCTGGGGCGCCTCTTCCCTTCCCCTTCAGGAAGGCTGTACTCTGGCCACCGGACTTGGAACCAACCTGCTTTGAAGCCTCAGCTCCTACACTCACTCACCATGCATTCTCGTTGTCATGCGTTCCTTCATTCATTCATTCACCAGGATTTTTTGAAGTCTACCATGCACGGGGCACAGGGAACGTGCATAAAATATTCTTTCAAACCTGGGCAAGAAACTTCAACCCCTTGGGCCTCAGTTTCCTCATCTGTGAAATGGAATCTACATCCACATCACAACTATATTGTAAAGACACAATAACCATGTGGCTGCACAGCCCCAAATCTACAGCCAGGAGGCGTTCCATCCTGCCCAGTAAGACAGAGCCCTACACAGGCACATGCTGGTGCATCAGAAGGGCGCAACAGACACATGGAAATAGACAAGGATGACGCAGGGCTGTGCTCCCGTGTGGCCCTGTCCCCTCCTTCTGGAGCACACAGTAGGAAGCCCTCTCTCCAGTCCACGGCACCAGGTCCTACCCTCAGGCGTCAGGCTGGGCTTTCACTCTGCCCTGGGGTCTACATTTTATTCTTTAAGGATGCCCACTTCATTCTAAACATGTCGTTATTTGGAATTCAAAACAAGCTGGGAAAACCCAGCTAACTGAAAAGGAAGCCGAATTTCGTGTGCCCCAGCTCTTCCCGCACTTACTGGGTCAGCACCTTCGGCTGGGCCGCGGGGGCCCTGCTGTCGGGGCCGTCCACACCACGCGACTTCCTTGAGTCTCACCTTCCAGAGCACTTTCCTCCCCAGTGAGCGCGCCGAAGCCGCGAGCAGAGAAATAAAAGGCAGGCGCCAAGCCAGAGGCCACCGCTCTGCCCCTGAAAGCTAAGCCCTGGTCCTCAGCCTCGCCTGCGTGTCAGAGTTCCAGGTGATTCTGATTTTATCTTACAATCCCATCCTGTGTCCCACCGGCCCTCCGCGGTGTTTCACATTTCACAGGGGCTTCTCCCTCCCCGCATGTCATGAGCTCCAACAAGCAGGAATGTGATTTGCCTTGATTTGTACATCCTGGATGCTTAGCAGGGAGAAGAATCAAAATGGCTATCGACTGAGGGAGTTAGTGGCTCTGTGTGGACGAGCCGTCTTCTCCACATTCAGCACTGGCCCCTCCCAACCTGTTTTCTTGCTGGTTGATTGGTTGGTTTTTTGAGACAGGGTCTCACTATGTAGTGTAGGATGGTCTTGAACTCACAGCAAGCCTCCTGCCTCAGCCTCACGAGTGCTGAGACAACAGGCATGTGCACCAGGCCGGGCTTCCAAACCAGAGTTTCTAAGACCTGTTAATAAGTATGCAAGGGATAAAAATTCCTCTCACCTTCAATTTTCCTGTCAGCCCATTAACAATCTCTGCTGATTTCCGCTATTAACTATCAGATGGCTCTTGCGCCATTGCTGACCTCAGACATCACCTTCCCATCTCTTATGCCTCGGGCAGCTGGCCCATCCTCTCCCCCGCCTGTCCCGTTCTCACCGTGTCTTGGTTACTTTTCTCTCGTTGGTGAGACAAAATACCCAACGCCCAAAAGGAAGGAAGGAAAGGTTTATTTAGCTCATAGTTTGTGGAGGTTTCAGTCCCTGCTTGGCTGGGTCCAAGGCAGCATGGCACATGGCAAAGGGCAGCCATTCATGGAGGTGGAAAGCAGCAGAAGCAGCAAGAGCAAAAGGGAAGAATGGCAGCAAACAGCCTCGTTCCCTCCCTTATACTGTAAGCAGGCTCCCCCCACCCAGTGGGCGTGTAGCTCTCACATAATCTCCACGCCCTCCTCTTCCACAGGCTCAGGATGTACACAAAGTATAAAGACAGATGATGAAGACAGATGACTGACAGAGAGATGATAGATGATTGATTGATAGATAGATGATAGATAGATCATCTTCCTTATAGTAAACTGCTCACCAACACATATATAGTGTGGGAAGGACATTTAATAGTTTACCTTACAAGGTACAACCTATACGGGATTTTGAGCCTGACCAGGCCGTATGATTGTTCTGGAGGAAGTCTTGCAAAAAGCTTAGTGTAAACCTTCATCCCAGGGAAGGCTGCTGGGACAGCACAAGATGTTTTGCTAAGATGTGTCCGAGGGAACGATAACATGATGGCCAGGAAGGCCAAAGTACAGCCCTGGGCTAGTTAAACTATGATGTTCTCACTAATCTGCACATTTCCTCTCCCATTTCCCATTCCTGCTTTTTGTAAAGGAAAGACTAATAAATAGCCAGAGAAAACTGCAATCAGGGCTTCAGTGCTGGAGGCTGTAGCCCCCGATCCCCTAACTTTGTCTCTCTTGTTTGCTTTTCATCCACCGCACCTCGTTTCTGGGACCTGTCACCTCACAAAAACCAACAGTATAGAAAAAAGAACAGAATTCAAGAATCACAGTATTCAGACATCACCGTGGTCTGAATTCACACATCACTACTTCCAGCAAGAATCATTAAAGAATGCTAAGACACTGAGTAAGAGTCCAGTGGAAAAAACGGCTATTTTTCAGTAGGATTGCCTCCAGGTACCTCTCCCAGACTCCTTAGTTACAAGGAGAAGCTGGTAACTTCACAGGGACGAAACCTGGCAGACACGGCCTTGCCCAAGCAGTCAAAGCTGAGATCGAACCCAACTGAGACCGGCGGTGCTGGCCTGCGCCCTCCACGCACCAACATCTGCAACGCGGCAGAGAGGCCGAGGCAGGTTCCACGCCTACAGGATCTGAAAGACACTAACTGCAGGGCCTCAGCAGGATTTCTGCACAGCACTTCCCAGTGTCACCTCTTTAGAGAGGACTTTCCGACCCACCTGTCTAAATAAAACCTCGGCTCATCCCTCGCTCATGATCATTTGGCCAGGCAGGCGCTCGTGCCCCTGGGCTATGGCCCCAGCCCTCCCCACCCTTTCACTTTCCCTGTTTTCTCCTTCTTTTTTTCAGAGCGCTGAGCACTGGGATTACACAGGCAAGCTCCAGAGCTGGACTTCTTGGTGTGAAAGCCTCGTGACTTGCTGGAGACCACTACAAAGAGGCTCCAAGCAGGATTTAATATTAACCAATTGGCTTTCCGTGTTTACTTGTGAGGTGTCTGAAGGCCACAGCTGAGGATGACTGGCTCCAACCCCAATTAACTTAAAGGAGACTGCAGCTGCAGGCATCTCACTCCTGCTGTGAAGGCCTTACTAGCGATAACATAGTTCTCCTAAATTAACATAATGTATTACTTGGGAAAGTCCTGCCCAGATTCCCCAGTTTTCTTGAGTATCCTCCTCCTTTGTTTATAAACCAAATAAATCCAGGCCGCCCAGAGCAGTCTTTGGCTAACTCAGAGAATACTGAACCTGTAAGGGAGTTAGTGCCCCCTGGTGCCCTAAAATCATTACCATTGTCTGCATTTATTTAAGCCTTTGCCGTCCACTCGTTTGGGAGACTGTGGGCCTGATCATCCTGCAATAACTTAGGGTTATGTAACCCAGTTTTCAATAGTGACTTGGGCGTGTCACTTAGCCTTTGGGTCTCATTTTCACTAAAATGAACATTGTAATAGTCCCTACCTCCAGTATTACTAGGAAGATCTTATGAAATGTTATGTAAGACACTTAAAAGAGCACCCCTCACATAGTGAAGCTCTCAACAAACATTAACTGTCATTATTATTTTTATGATTTGAAATTATATACTTATTCATTTATTATCTCTTTACACTTCTAGGGTTTAACCTTTAAGAAGACAGGAGTTTTGTTTTTCTTTGGTTGCTTCTTATTAAAACAGTGCTAAAATATAGAAAACACTTAGTAAATAGTTGTTGTGTGATGGAAATTTTAAAAAATTAAGATCGAGTATCTGACCGCACATTAAGACAAAATGAGCTCACGCCGCCCAGCACGCAGCTCAGTAGCTCCAGACTCACTCAGCCTTGACTGACTACACAGAGATAACCTGACACAGCCCAGCCCGACCGCACCCCGCTGCACACCCTGCACTTTCCAGCCCCCAAACATGCCCTGTTTGCTAACTTGTTTCAAGGACTTTCTGCTCAGCAACGAAGAAAAACTGATGCTACCCAAGAAAAATCCACCACGCTTTTAAGCTTTTGTATCTCCTGCTTGCAAGCCTATATAAACTAAGCCCAAACCAGCTCGGGGCTGGTGCTTTGGGAGCGATCCCCACCATTAATAAAGTTGGCTGCCTTCCAACTCCTGGGGGCAGAGCCTTTTCCATTTGGTTCCGTACCTGGTTCTGTGACAGTTAGATAAATACATGTATAAAAATGAGCAGTAAATAAGATTCTAAGTACAATTTCACCTGATATAACTACTTTAAAATCTGAAATTTACATTAAAGTACAATGCAGAATAAGGAAGAAGAGGACCATGTGAAGTAATTTGGGGAGCTTGTTTGGTGTTGCTTCTTTTCATTGTGGTACTAGGCATTGAACCTAGGGCCTTCACTCTGAGCTACATTCCCAGCCCCTTTTTGTTTTCTTTTTTGTTTTGTTTTGAGGCAGGGTCTTGCTAAAAGGCTAAACTGCCCAAGCCAGACTCATACTTGTGATCTTTCTGCCTTGGCCTGGCAGAGTTCTGGGATTACAAGATGCACCACCACACCTAGATGAGAGATCTTGAAAGGAAAAAAAAAAGTCCAAGTAGCACAGAATGGAAAGTCAAGGTTCTGCTGCAATTTCCAGCGAAGTGGTGCCGGGCTCAAGTCCCTGCGTGTAACTGGGCACCAGGGCCTTCAGGGGACTCTGTGAAAACACAGACCGTCCCCATGGTGCACACCAGCCCAGTAGGACTCAGGCCTGTCTCACCACTGCACTGCCCTAGAGAAGATGGGAAAGAGGGACAGGGGACGAGGGACCGCGCACCCCGGCACCCTAGGTGTCCCACCCCCGGTCAAGGAGCACCACTGTGAGCACCGACGCAATTCACAAAAGTCAGTTTCTTTATGAGAAGAGACTTAATTTTGTTTCAAAACTTCATAATCCGATCACTCCCATCATTACATACGCCTCTGACGCTGCTCGGTCACGTGAGGGACTCGCCTGCCCTGTCGTCGTATGCCACTTGGTCCTTTGTACTCCGCCAGGGTCTCAACCGTTTTTTTGCAGGATCAAAATCCACAGAAGCCAGGGTTTCCCAAACACACTGGCCTAAGGGACACTTGTCCCAGAACCACTACTAACCTAACTGTGGGAAACACTCCGGAAATACAACACACAGAGCCTGTGGAGTCATACAAAGTGACCAGAGAGTGCGGCTAACGGAGGAGAAGATGAACACTGCGCAGTCTCCCAGGGGGCATCATGGCGCGACTTCCGCAGGGCTGGGGCAGGGGAGCTGCCCATCTTGTACGTGGCCCTGTACTTTCGCTCTATGACAAACCTCACTGTCACGTGCCCCTGGAAGCTCCAAGTTTTTTCCTGCTCAGATCCAAAATCAGGCATTGGAGAAATTGGAAAAATCAATTGGAGAAACTCGTGGACAGATGTCATGCCCACCCAACATGTGACGCCATCTCTCACAAGCCAGTCCCAACCTGGAGCATACGGCTTAAGACGAAGCACCACTCCAGGTCCCGAGGAGCCACAGTAATTTGCTGTGACAGTGAGATTTAGACTGGGGGCACTGCCACCTGGACAGTTCTTTATTTCTTAGCCTGCCGGGTTTGTACCTAGTGTCCCGAGGTCGGCGAAAGGGTCCAGAGTCTGGGGCTTGCTCTGATGCGTTGGGGTGCCGTGCGAAGACCCTGTCGGGCTGGTGGCAGCTGATTTGCTTCCCATTCCAAAGCCTCCTGAAAAGGAAAGAGCACCATGAGAAATCAGTGAGTTGTCCAGGCTGGATTCTGCAATCCCGAACGTCAGAGGCACAGTTCCTCGGTCAGGACAGGGCCAGAACGGCGTCAGAGGTCCCCGGGCTATTTTTATGAATAGGGTAAACAGGGATCGGGAGGGAAGAGGAGACCAAGCCAGAGATCGGCATCCCGACCGCACCTCAGCTGGTGTCCCTGCCATCTCCTCTCCCGCCTCATCCTTCCTGTGGGATCTGGAGTTCGCCCTGAACCTGCATCCCAGCTCTGCCCCTTCCTGGGTTACCCTGGGGGTCTCCTTAACATCTCTGAGCTTCAATATTTTATCGTTGTCTTTTCGAGATTACACAAAACCAAACTCACAAGCAATAAAAGCAAAAAGTAGACAGACGCAACCCAACCTTCTGCGCAGCCAGAGAAAGTCAACAGGGTGGAAAGACAAACCACGAAATGGGGAAAACATCTGCCAGTCATATCTGATAAGGCATTAATACCTAGGATGTATTCAGAGCTCCTACAACTTAATAACAAGTTAAAAGAACCTGACTTTAAACTGGCCAAAGCCCGCAACAGACATCAAACAGCCACAAGCATACAGAAAGATTCTCCCATGACTAATTATTAAAAAAATGTAAATCAGAACAACGACATCACCCCACACCTGTTGGGATGACCATTTTTTTTTTTAAAAGCCAAGGCTGCTGGCACAAACCTGTAACCCCAGCACTTGGGAGGCTGAGGCAGGACTTCTGGGAGTTCAAGGCCAACCTGAACTGCACAGCAAGAGCCTGTCTCAGAAACCCAAAACAAAAAACAAAGAAAGGAACAAAAACAGAAAACAAGTGCTGGTGAGGATGTGAAGAAATCAGAACCTCAGCTCACCCCGGTAGGAATATGAGACGGTGCACCCCACTCGAGAGCAGTATGACACCCACCACGTGATCATGAAGCCTCACTTCTTAACTTCCACATCCACGGCACTGACAGCAGGGCCTCACACACGCCCATGTCCGTGGCAGCACGCCTCACAGCAGGTGAGAGGCAAAGCAAACCAAACACCTCTCACCAGAGGGGAGGCAGAAAAACTTGCACACAGGTGCGAGAAAATATTACTCAGCCTTTAAAGGGAAAATGCCGTCACATGCTTCAACATGGATGAGGCCTGGGACACGGCCACGCAGAGACAGGTTCTGCGAGGGTCCACCTGTACAAAGTGTCCGTCACAGCCACAAAAGCAAAGGGAAAGCTAAGGAGAGAGGAGCGCTGTTGGTGGACATGCAGGTGCAGTCATGCGTTCCGGGGAGGCTGGTTCTGGGGTACATCGGACAGCAACGGGCGTGTAGGTGACAACTGGTACCACCTGCTCGGAAACTGAGGGAGGGTGAATCTTACGTTATAGCTTCTTTTTTCTAACCCAACAAAAACAAAAGGAAACAGCAACTGGTGCAGGGAGTTGTGAGAAGAACTTTGTGTGTGTGTGTGTGCACACGTGCGTGCATGCGTGTGCATGTGTGTGAGTGTGCATGTGCGTGTGCACTCCTGCATGAGCAGCAACAGGAGCACGATCACCCAAGAGCTCTCAGGAAATGTCACACTCCTGTATTACAAAGAATCGCAACCGCAGAATAAGCACGTTGAGAAGAAAGAAAGTTTTCATGTTCAGCACCCGCTCTATGCCAGAAGCCACCATCCAAGCCGTTTCACCTAAACTTACGGAACTGTGTGGGATGAAAATTACTATCCCCATTTTGTAGAAAAGAATACGGCAGCTCAGCCTCATCCAAGAATCCAAGGGTTTCTACGCTGTACAATTAGGGTTCGATTTTATCTTCAAGACAGATATTCAGCCGATGAGACCCGGGGAAGTGAAATAACACACTCAGCAGTGACATAACACACAACCACATCACCAAACACACCAGGAGATACTGATCAGGAAAGATCGACACATCTCCTCCCATCACCTGGGCGTCCCAGCTCTGTCTGCGCCCGGCTCCTGTGGGGTGAAGGGTTACGCCTCGGCAGCCGGCTGGCTCAGTGTGTACAAAACACAACCTGTTCACGTTACCTGGTTTAGCGTGCCAGTCCCAGGCTCCAGACACATCCGGCTGAATGTTCACGGCAGGGGTGCTAGACGCTGCGAACGGGGAGAAGGCGAAGAAGAAAATCAAGATCATTCTGGAGAGAGCTTTCCGACGTCACGCAGGATCCAGCCACCCCACCCCCCAGACCAGCTAGGCCTCTGGGGTCCCCAGGCTCCGCCCTCCCTCGAGCTCTCCCATGCTCCCCAACATGGACTTCTCCGCCTCCTCCAGGGCTCCCCACACCAGGCCAGGCAGAAGCCGGAGGGAACTCAGCCTGTCCCTGCCCCGGCTCGCCCTGCTCGGCTCGGCATCCACACACTAGGAATTAGGACTGTGCACGCGTCCGCCATTAAACCGGGAGCCCCTGCAGGGCAGGAGCTGCCTCCTTGGTCTTGGTGCTCCCTGACTCCGTCCTTAACACAGCGGGAAATGAGAAAAAGGGCAGAAATCCTTCAAGTCACCTTAGCTTTGCACTAACAAGAGTCCTGGGTGTGACCCACTTAGTGCTGATATTTTATTTTCCCTTCTGCTGTGACACGAATTGAGAATTCTGAGTTGTTCATGACACGTATAGGGCTGTGACTACGTACCACCCGCGACGCTGGTGACAGGGATGTGTCTATTGTCACCCGAAAGAAGCCCATTGCGGCCTCAAAACAGACTGTTCTGAGCCCTCTCAAACTTATAAACCAAGAATTTGAAAACACTCTGCCGAAACAAGGAATTTCTTTCTAAGGCACCTTCAGGTTTTGCCCACAGACATCAGGGAGTCAAATGCAAATGCTAAACTAACATTGCAACTGGGGTTGAAAACACACACACACCCTGAGAATGACTCAGACACCAGGATAAGCAGTCCAGGACTCACCCAGACCTGTGCTGTTTACTTAGCACCAAGCCAACCCGCGCCTTCCCTTCACTACATTAAAAGGATGCGCATTATCAGTGCTAATGACGCCTTCCTACCTATTCCTCCTTTCTCCTTTTCCACAGCGATCCATGAAAACAGAGGTGGAAAGTAGGCAGCTTCGCTCACATTCCCTACCTGATTTCTCTTAAACGTTGACCCTGGTCCTACGTCCACTAGGGTGTAAAATGAACATCAGAACTTCACCCTTATTACTAATGAATCGAACCCATAAGCCCTCATGATTTCCTACCGTATGCAAAGCACCGTGTCAGTCAACAGAGGCCTAGAGATGCATCACCCACCCCCAGGAAATATAAAACCTGTCAAGAACATACGAATATATGAAAAATAATACAAGAACATGTAATGAAATGATTTAACATATGAATGTGTTCACATTCATATATGGTAAGTAATTACCTCAGATTTAAACCTCTATTTGCCTTTTATGATGGTTGGTGGCTTACTTTTGCTTCCAACACCACCACCCAAGAGATGGCTCCTTCAGAATAAGTGTTCGGTGGTAACTCTTTTTTTAATCTTTTTTTTTTTTTTTTGGTTTTTCTCCGGTACCGGGAACCGAACTCATGACCTTGCGCTTACCAGGCAGGCGCTTTGCCACTGAGCTAAATCCCCAGCCCCGGTAACTCTTGATTATGTGATTACTGCTGCTTTCCATGCAGCCTGAATCTCTACTGTGGAGCCATAATGAGGACCCCACGTGTCATTTTTCAGAAGGGTCTGGTGATGCCTTCTAGATCCCCGAGGGCAGACCCCAAGGCCTGGAGGTGGGGAACCTGGCCTCCCACGCTGAGCAGTGAGTCGTGCGTGCTGTCCTCCATAAAGAGGACATGACTGCCTCACCAGCGGTAGGATAGTCATCGCTCTCCCTGGAAGGAGAGTGGGAAATTCTCCTCGCTCACAGGCACGTTGCAGACCAAAATGACAACCATGGCTACAAAACAAAGGCAGGCTGGTCTACATGGGATGGAAAACAACACGATCTAACCAGCTGAAAAGAAACAGAGGCCAAGCTGCAGCATGAACACCCGCGTCCATGGGACATCAAAAGCAGTGTTCTTCCCGAACAGTAGCTCCCGAGTATTGAAATTGGAAAAGGGCGTCACTTTATAGACACCAACACCATGCACCAAACAAACTCTGATAGGAAAAAAACCAAGTGAACCCACTTAACGTTTATGTACGAGAAAGAAAGCGAGGCGGTCCCCAAGGTGTGTGGTAATTCTTTCAGGCACTAGGAACACATTCACAAACAAAACAAACAAAAATCCCTGCCTTTGTGAATTCATGTTCTGGTGAGCAAAGAACAAAAAATAAACACAGTGTATAAGGAAATGACTGCATGTGTTGGAAATTAATAAGTCTGATGGAAAGGAAAACAGAGTAGAGCAGATGATAAGCTGTGATTTGAAACGGAGCAACGTAGGCCCCACTGGGAGGGAAGCACTGGGGCGAGGAAGGAAGGTTCGCAGACATACAGGGAAAAGCACGGAGCAGAGGGAAAAGACAGCCAACATCAGAGAGAGCAGAGGGGCTGGAAGGAAGGGGCCAGGGGGAGAAATGGGAAATGGGGTCACAGGCAGGGTCTACGCAGGCCACTGCGAGGGCCCAGGCTCTACCGCCCAGCAAGGTTGGAGCCAGCGTGAGCAAGAAATGACATATGTGAATGAGTACGCAAAACTACAAACTTTAACCTGCATCCCTGCATAGAGTTCGCTCCTGCACTGATTCCTCCTTTTTGGCCGGCCAATATTGCATAGCTCAACTTCCTTTTGCATTTGCATGGCTTCTGTGAAGTCAAGCTGATGACTGGACCACACCCTCCAGGGAAGCTTGGGTACCTCCCATAACACGTCGCCTCTAGACTGAGGCCAATAAGGTTCGGTCTCTCCAGCATCAGGAGGGACCCCCAACATGGCTAAAAGGCATCTGTCCTCCACTGCTCGGTATGGCTTGTGTCTAGCTGTCTCCCAAAGCCTCACGCAGTCATAGGTGGGGCTTTTTCAGATGCGGCTGGATCTAGAGTGTGTGACACAGGGATCAAGAGTCTGGGGTTACTAAATCAGTCCACTGATTGGTTTGGCATAGTTCTGGGTAGGATCAAGGGTGTCCCACCCTCAGTGTAAGTGCTACCCACCCTGAGGGCATGTAGCCTGGAAAGGTATAAAGGACAGAAAAAGAGTCCCTGCTTTCCTATCACTTGTCACTTGTTTCGTGCTTGCTTGGATGCTTTTGCTGCTTTCTGCGTGCCACAAACTGTTTCTCCTCTGCAATGCCTCTCCACCACGTGCTAGCCCACCTTGGAGCCGGCTAACTATGGACTGAAACTTCTACAAACCGTGAGCTAAACAAATCCCTCTTCCTTTAACTTTGGATGTCGAGTATTTTGTCTCAGCAACAAGAAAACTAAGACGCTGCTGAGCTCCAGGTTTCATCAGTGCAACCTGAGCAACACACTTTGCACCTGCACACGGTTGTGATTACTACCCCTGGCCTGCAGCCTGAACCTCTGCCATGGAACTATCATGTGGACCACAAATGCCATTGCATGTCGGTTAAAATTCTCTAACAGCCACACTGTAACATGTAAAATGACAGCAGTGTGAGTAATTTTAACAATGTATTTTATTTAGTAAGATAACCCAAATATTACCTGAATAAATGATCAGTATAAAATATGAACAAGATATTTTATATTGTTTTGTCATATAACGAATTTCAAAATCTGGTAAACATCTTCTGTGTGGAGACATCTCAAACATCGGCCCAGCCACAATTCAAGTGCTCCACAGCCACGTGTGGCTGACAGCCATCACACTAGATGGCATAGAGTGGTACAGCTCAAACTTTGCTCTGTAGAATACTAACTGCATAGAATGCTAATATCACATTTTATTAATTTACAACTCATATTGTTCCAAATTTCAAAGATTTCTCCAACCAGGATGCATCTTCAAATAATTAAAAGTAACAATGCTTTGGGTTTTTTCTTTTCTATTGGTTCATAGAAAAAAAAATGATATGTCTTCCAATAAATGGTGCTTTATGTTCCTGTGAATGTAGCTCTAATATGAAAAAGAATTCCACAGTCAAATGAATTCTAGGGAAGCTGAGAAAAGCAGAGTTAAACTGCTTTCTTCTAAAACATCCCAGAGTTCTTAATATGTTAATGTGAATTGTTAATTTCCAAAAGAAAGATACATCATGTACAACCCCCACCAAAAAAAAAATCACCCACAGGATGCATTTACATCTGAGCAACTACTGACATCTGGCAGAGAACTATGCTCCGCCGGACACGACTGGAAATGGGCTCTCACCGTGCACAGTGGGTGAGGGGCTTCTCGTGGGCTGAAGGAAAGGGTCGCTGGGCGCGCTGGATGTACTCAGAAAGGAGCCCAGCAGGTCCTGGCTTGACGGCTTAGCAGAGGCTCCAAATGGGTCAAAGGTGGCACCTAGAAAACAAAGGGGAAAATGGATTTTTTGTCCTATATGTTCACTTATGCTATAAATACAGAATTGCTGTCATTATTGCTTGTCCCTAGGCCAAGTCCTTGAACACTCATGACAAAGACAGCCTCCAGGCCCACTCCACAGGCCCACAAAAACTTCCTGCAGGCCTAACAACGGGTCCCAGGGATTTCTGACCACACAAGGATAATCCCACTGTCATAGACAAAGGAGGAGTCTGGAGTTATTTATCTGTTGGATAAACTATAAAGACTATAAATAGGGGCTTTGACCTTTAAGACTCCAAATAACATGAAATCAATCAATCAAGGTCACAGGCTGGCTGAGAATAAGGTCCATACTGATGAAACCATGCTGTGAAATCTATGCATGGACCCTAAGAGATGTTCCGGGGCACCACATGCTTATGCTGACTGTCCATGCTAAATGAATAAATGAATAAATGTTCATGTTAAAAGAGTTGGGATTTATTACTTTTTATTCTCTTTAATTGCTTGATCAACCTTGCATTCTTACATCTGGTAATCTGAGCAACTTCATCGAAGGGAACAATACACAATATAACAACCACTGTTAATTCCTATCATCTTGTTTTGAAATCCTGTATCATTTTTATTGTCTTTGTGTTGTTTTGTATTTTGTGGGTTTTTTTCTCTCTAATATAAAAAAAAAGAATAAGGAGGCAGCCTCTGCTATTAAGATGAACAGCAGAAACCCATACTGACTAGGTTTTGTATAGTTTTGCTTTTAAGTGGTCTCTGGCTCACTTGAAAGTTACAAAGACAATAAAATGAAAGTAACAAAAAGAAACCTGAACTCTCGCTACGCCTTATGTCTTACAAAAGTCAAACATTTCCACAGCATAGCCTCTCCACATCTGCTGGACACCAGATGCAGATTTCGTGCAGCAGGGATTCATTTGCAAATGAGCTAAGCAGACCGGAGGACAGCAGGAAGCTAAGGTGACCAGCACAACGCCAGAGCTAATACTTATCCCTTCCAGGGTTGACACCGTCTTTCAGGAAGGAGCCCCTGGCTAATCTCAGTCTCACCCTGTCACGGAGAAGTGGGGTCTTCATTTTCTACAAGAAGAAACTGAGGCTCAAAAGCAATTTCTTGCCCAAAGTCAAGAAACAACTGATGTTCAAGTCTTCTGACGTTCCGGGAATTTCTGCAAAGCAGCTTGCACTTCTCACCGTCATAAACTGAATGTGATAAAACTGAGCTGCATGAAGATAACTGGCCCTTATTTCTCATGTCTGAGCAGAGAATAAAATCCCCTTTTGCTCCCCACGATGAGACGTCACTTCCTAAGTTCGGAGTGTCAAGCTAACGGCTCTTTGCCTCCACGAGAGCAGGTGACCCTTCCTGGGAATAGGAAGTAACAATCAAAGCAGTTCACAAAACAGCCCCCTCCTGTGCGGCAGGAAGGACATACGGCTCACTCAGTTGACACCATGGCTGCAGTGGCACACGCTCTTCCGACATCTGTGGGCAGCACAGGAGGCTGGTGTCACAGCAAAGCTAGTGACTGCGTCCCAGGCACTTCACTAGCGATGCAGATCCCTCACCTCATTTCATCTTCATGAAACCTCGTCCTTGCTGAAAATGAGGACACCAAGACTTACACGGGCACCGGAAGAGGACAGTGGTCCATCTCTCTGCATCTAGGTGGGAGCCAGCCAGTGGAAGATGCCAAAATCATGCCACTATTTGGTGCACTTCCGCTGTCACCTCCTGCCACAGACCTTCCCTAGTAACTAGAATCGAGATGCTGACCATCACGGACAAGAGCTCAAAATTTACAGTGACGCTGGTATCACCCACCTTTCCAACTAAGAAAGCTAAGGTTTTTCAGTAAGACTATCCAGACAGCCATGCTGGTCCTGACACTCGAACTCAGGCCTTTAGCTCTAGACTTGGTGTTCTGTCTTCTTCTTTGTGAGTTGTGGAGCCGGGCCAGCCACTAATCAGCTGAGTGTCCCCGGATAAATCAGTCGGTACATCTAGGCCCCAGCATCACTGTCCGTAAGCTGAGACATGGAATCCCCTGATGTCTAAGGGCCCGCCTAGCTCTACCACGGGGCACATCTACCTGTCATCACGGGATGGTGATGAGTGAAGTCATCAGAGTCACACAAGGTGCTCTGTCTTGCATCTAGCAGATGATTTCTCCACACAGAGGCGTTACTCACTCTGTGAATGAGAACCAGCTAGAAGTAACAAACTGCGGAAGAGACAGTCATGCTCTTGGATTCGGCACCGCAAGGTCCACATCCAGGGGACTCAGCGCCCCCCCGATGCCCGCTCTCACAGGCAAGGCTCCCACTGAGCTCCCAAACCAAGACCAGCCCAGAGGCACGGAGACAGGAAAACCGAGCTTGGGAAGCATTACCCCGGGAGACTACCGGCTGCCTCGACCTGGCCCTGTGCCCTTGCTAACATGCAGTCACGTGACAGTGACAGGGCCGCAGTTTGAGCTGGTCCTTCAGCAGCTGTCGTGGACCTCTGTTACTCAGCGACATTCTCTTGCAAAAGTCACAGACTTGTGGACGACCAGTCCTGGGTGGAGGGAGCCACTTGGTGGCAAGGAGCTGAGAGGAAAGAAACTCACAAGGCCACCGCGAGGTACCAACGCTCTGCTGCCTCAGCCAAGGGCTGGCACGAACGCTCTGCACTGCAGCTCCGAGAGCCACCGCGGGAAATCTAAGGGACTGGGTCCAGGCGCCCAGTTTCAGACCCCGGCACCACGCATTTCTTCCGCTATTAATTCAAATCTAAGCTTCCGTTTCCTCAACTATAAAATGACAGCGCCTGTGTACTGGGGTTTTATGAGAACTAAGTCATGGTTAGTGTTAGATTTCGCATCTGGCAAATGCCAAGTATGGCACACATATTAGCTGATATTTTTAATAACAACTCAGGCATCTACATGTCCAAGCAGCTCAGGGCTTGGTACCCTGGAAAAAGAAAATTAAAAGTGAGGGTAGGGACTCAGCTGTCCGCTCCTGCCCTCTCCTAGAAGGTGCACATGCTATTTTCTTCTGTGTCCTCCATGCAGGTGGGGACCTACATCAGACTTCTAAGGGACACTCAGGGAAGCCAGGAGAGGCCAGCTTCTTAGGGCAGCTCACTCTGCCTGCTGGGCCCCCGAGCACCATTCAGATGGCAGCCACGAAGTTACCTTCTCCCACACGCAGGGTAGGCGATGCAGAGCTGGAGGCGGCGGCGCGGCGTGGTGTGGATCGAGCGGACGCCGCCCCGCTGGGGTGGAACGCGTCCTCCACCCCCGACTGTCCCACCGGGGCTGGGCCAGCAGCACCCGTGCCCCCAAACAGGTCGCTGAGCAGTTCCGTGTTGGTGGGAGGGGGAGCCGGCGGAGAGAAGTTCTGACCCACGTCAGACCCCTCAAGGCCCAGCAGGTCCACCTCTTCCGGGGCCGGGGCCGCTGCGGGCTCCTGCTGCTTCTTGCTGGGCTTCTTGGGCCCGTGATGCCTGTCGCCGTCGGCGTTGCCATGCGGACTGGACAGGGTCAGGAGCTCATCGTCCGACTGCTCGCTCTCCTGGTTCACCAGGGCAGCGTGGTCCTCCTCGCAGGATCTCTCCGGTTTCTGATCTGAGGAAGGCCAGCAGGGGGTTAGCAGCTGCCCACAGATGGCTGGGTTTTGTGACACTAAGCGCACCCCACCCCAGAAAGGGGAGGATTTGGCCCTGCACAAAGGCCACTCCGCACCCTCCCCGTGGAACTCTGGACATACTTCATGTCGCACTCAACGACTAGCTGTTGGGTGAGGTCTCAGGGGGAATGTGGCACAGGGGCGAAGGGTAGGAGCTCGGGGGCTGGCGGGCTCGAACGGAACCCCAGCTCCGCCTCTCGCTGGCTCTGTAACCCCAAGCAAGTCCTCCGGCCTGGGTTCCCTCCTCAGCAAAACAGGGTCATGAACGGTACCTACTCACAGGCCACGGCCAGAGTCCCAGATCCACAGCAAGGAGCCTAAAGGTGACCATCATTAGGAATACTCACCTCCAGGCAGGATGCTTGGGGCTTTGCGGGGAACTAAACAGTAACTCCTCTCACTAGGTTTACTCCCAGGGGCACCGCCAAAAGCAAGCCTTTTCTCCCTCAGGGAGCGGAGGGGACTGGAGCAGCTACCGAGGAAACGGAGGGCTGGGTGGTGCCCGCCCAGACTCTTGCAGCAGACACGGGCTCAGGACCGAGGCCCACAGCCAGCAAGTGACCCTCGGGGCCCTGCCTGCGGTGATCTTTCCACAGATCTTTGTTACCGACGTCGGACAGACCAGCCTTCCAAATTGGATGCGGCCCGCGCCCCGGTCCCTGGTTCTGAGATGCTCAAAGCTCTGTGAAGCAGGAGGCTTCCTGTCCGTGCTTCAAATGGGGGCGGAGACAGGGGTCTGAGCGAGGGTAGAAGTATTTACAGTCTGCTTGGTTCTGCTCAATTGTTCCACAGCAGAAAGAGAGATTCTTCGCTAGCAGCTGCTGTCTGAGATGCAAAGGGAAGGCCAAGTAACCAAGTCCAAGTCCACGTCCCACATCGCCTTCCTCACCGGTGGAACACTACACTGCGAAGCTCACCTGCTCCGAGAAGTTCAGACAGGAGGCTGTGCACCTCCAGAGCCTACAGAGTTCACTTCCGATTTACAACTAAGATGACAACGGAAAACGAAGTGTGAAGTTGTACGAAACGCCCAGACTGTCAGGGAGATATAAGGAAAACTAAGAAGCTGCGCATGGGGGCGCACACCAGTAATCCCAGCACTCAGGAGGCTGAGGCAGGAGGATCACCACAAGTGAGTTCAAGGCCAGCCTGAACTGCATAGTGAGACCCTGTCTCAAAAAAAAGAAAAGAAAACCAAGAAGAGGCTTCAAAATCTACCTGCTATCTAGAGTTTCCTAGTTTAAGAAGCTTTTGGTCTCATTTCTCAAAAGAAAACTCAGAAAACCAGCCTTGTAACCACCTAACAGCTTCCTGAGTATCACTCAGACAGGCGTCATTTCAACCAGTCAATTTTCATACTGAATAAATTTCATAAAATTGTCATTTTTATATCTCCATATACCATCTTACGAACAGAAAAACTTTGGACCATCCTGTATTCAAATAATTGGACTGGTGCTTAATTCAACAGGATTCTAGGAATACTGTAATCATTTCACCAAACTCTCAAAACTTCCACGGGCTGCAGGAACCGTCAGAACATCCACACATCACAGGGAGGCCGATCACGAGGCTGGCAGCTAGGCCACGCCCAAGCCAGCTGTCACCATTTCACACAAGACTTCCTAAGGCCTCCATTCCCTACCAGCCGGCAGGTCACCCAACAAACTCGGGGGCCAGGACGGCGACGTGTGTTGATCGGGATGCCAAGCCCCACACAGGGGTGCCGGAAGTCTCAGCGGACCTGCTGAGCAGGGTTCTGAAGATGCATCCAGGGATAGGAGAGAAGAACAAAGTGCTAGGGCCCAATTTCCGCTAACACGTGGGAAAGCAAGCAGCAGAGACAAGGTCTGGTTCGCCTTTTGCGAATGGTTAAAGCTCTCCAGGAAACACTCAACTGTGAATTTTCAGGATATACAACGGAAGGGAAGAAACAGAGCCCTTTGCTAATCTCATTGTGCCGTCAGCAGCCTGAGGAACCACACTGAGCCAGCACCCAGCACCCAGCACCGTGACAGAAGGTGCTGGCGGACCATGTAAGGTGATCTTGCGCACCCGTGAAGCTGAAAGTAGGGAAGTCGCCTGACTTGAACAGCTGTGAACTAAGGAGGAAGGAAGCTGCATGGCTTCTGACTGCTGCCGGGGTGCAGGACTTCATAGAAGGCCGGCACACCCTACCTCCATCTCTGCCTCCCCCGCCAGGGAACGCAGAGAAACGCCTGTGGGTACCTTGCCAACAGAGAGACGAGAAGAAGCCGCCTTGCCCGGGATGCCTGGGGTTGTCAGGTGGCACGTCTACCGCAGCCTGTCCTGCAGGAGAGAAGGCGGGCGGCACCAGTGAGACGGGGAATAAGGTCACACAGCAAAGAGCACAGCGGCTGCGCCCCGCAAAACAAAGCAGGAGGTGGCTCCTACCGCCTAAGGCCAGAGTGTCTTGGTGCTCCTGGTGGGAAGAGAAGAGGATGCTGGGGTTGACGTCCTTCGCGCAGTAATGCTCCCACGGCGGGGTCAGGTCTACCACCTTGTCATGGGGCTGGAGTTCCACGTCCAGCGTCACTTGAAACAGCTGAGGATACTTTTCTGGTACATCACAGGCATCTAATTCAGGCCTGAATGGGGATTTAAGCAGGGCAGACTGGTGAGAATTCACGGAGCTGGTGACAGTGCAGCACGGAAACTATCCCAGGGAGACGTTCAGGACTCATTCCAGGGAAGACGCAACCCTGAACTAGATGCATTACTTCATCTTTCTGTGCCTCTGTTCCCTCAGCTAGAGAAAAAGGGAGAAGACCTGTTCAGAGAACATGGCCGCTCCTGCCTGTGAAAGAATCCTGGAAAGCAAGGCTGGTTCACACAGCTGACAGGCACTGGCCCGGCCAGGTCAGTTCTTAAAAGGGTGAAATAAGCCCACCAAGCCCTTGAAGTCCCCCCAGCCTGTCCAACGCCCACCTGTCACCAGCCTCAGCCACCGCCTTGCGCTCCCTGGCCACACTGTGACACAGCCATGAAGGGTCAGTGTATGCTGCTCGGTGCTGTGGGGGCGTCCAACCCGATGGCCATCACTCCAACCATCCCTGGGCTAAGCCACTGTCCCTGTTGGAAACGCCAGGGCCTCCCAGATGCAAAGGGTCACACACTCTGTCTCTCCCAGTCACTCTTGCGCCTTCTCGCAGAATGTCAGAGCTTCCCAGGTGAAGCCTCTGACCCATTCGCACTGCTCAGGGAGAAGTTCTGAATGCACCCGGCCTCTCTGACCAGCAAGGCGACACTGAGGGTCCCGCAGCCCAGGTGCGGGGGGACGCTGCAGCGCGGCCCCACAGAGGCCCAGCACATCACAGCCACACTGACGAACACAGACTTCCGGTCTGGGCGGGACTTACTTGGTGAACTTTAGGACAGTGGTGTCCGGGGGGATGAATCCAGAGTGAAACTGCAGCTGGAATATCTGCGTGTTGGTCACCTAAGAACACGCGGGAGGAGCTCATCAAAGGTCGCATCCCGGAAGCCACGCGGCCTCAACTCCCCCTGCATCCGAAGCTTTGCTCACTGTGGCCGGGAACCCTGTGCCAGCCTCCTCTCCAGTGCCTCCCCCGGAAGCTCTGCCTTGGCAAGGCGAGCCCTGCTCCCCGATGCCCCGCGCCCTCACACACTGCCAAGCCCGACGCACTGTCCTCCTCCTTCCAGACCGCCCTGCTCCCACCCAATGAGCTCATCCTTCGCGGGCACCTTGGGACGGCAGGTGCTTTCCGTAGCCTCACTGGGCGCCCTGGTGGAAACAACCTGCTCCCGCTGCAGCGCCCGCCCGCCCGCCCTCGCTCGGGGCGCTGTGGTCCACACAGGTGCAGGTGTAAGCTTCCCACTAGGCGGAGTTTCTTCAAGGTAGGGACACGGTTTTATTCACGTCACTTCCAGGCCCCCAGACAATGGCTGAGCGTGCACTCAGCAAATACTTGATTAACTGAAGTAGAATAACTTACAGCACCGCTCCTGACAGCCATGAAGCGGCTATCGTCCCCGTGAGCCTCACCAGCCTGGGGGATGAGTATCTGCGGTCTGGCAGTGTGAGGCTGTTCTGTGGCTTTAGGCGGAGTGGAGGCCTGATAGAGGCTACCCACTGACAACCTCACAAATACCATGCGAGGTGGAAAAAGCCATCCACAAGGGAACACATTCCGCATGGCTCCATGTATACGAAATGTCCAAAACAAGCAAACCCATGGGGACAGGAAGTAGATTCGCGGCTGTCAGCAGACAGGGAAGGGGAGACGGTACTGACGTGCACTGGGCTCTTTTAGGGGTGACAAAAAAGTTCTAGAATGCATAGTAGTCATGGTTGTGCACACTATTAATAGATTTAGATAACATTAAACTGCACACTTTATATTTATTTATTTATGTATTTTGAGACAGGATCTTGCTATATAGTTCAGGCTGTCTTTGAACTCGCTATGTAGCCCAGGCTGGTCTCCAGCTCTCAGCAATCCTCCTGCCTCAGCCTCTCCAGTGCTGGGACTACAGGTGCGTGACACCATCCCCAGCCACACTGCACACTTTAAATGGGTGGCGCTTATATAATGTGACTTTTACCTAAGTTAAAAACTTGAAAAAAAAAAAAAAACACAAAATTTTAATTCCATATTCTCAGTTGGAATCTCCTTCTTTACACAGATTCAAAGGCAAAACTCTAAGTAAGGCACAGCTTTTGGAAAACATGGCTTGCAGGAAGGTCTAGAGATGTCCCTTCTGACATGGTCATGTAACAAGGACTGAGGGCAGGTCACAGCCTCTCAGAGTCTGTTTCCTCTCAGGAAGGAAGGAAGGAAGGAAGGAGGGAGGGAGGGAGGGAGGGACAGAGGTAAGGAAGATGGAAACAGCCCTTCAAGGCTCTTTCTCATTCTAAACCCACAAGTCACTCAAACTCAACGTGATCTGGGAGAAAGGCTCATAAATAGTCCGACGAGAAGCTCAGAAGAGGGCTGGGGATGTGGCTCAGTGGCAGAGCACTTGCCTAGCACACAGCAGGCCCTGTCAATCCACCAATCTCAGAGGATCTGGAGCCGCCGTGCCTCCCTACCCGACCCCAAAGCTCACCTTGGCCTGCAGCCGGCTCCCGATGGTGGACCTCAGGTGGTACATGGAGACGACCACGTCTCCCTGCACCGTGATGTTCAAGGGAATGAAGATTTTTCCATCCTGGACACGATATTCTCTAAGCAGATCAAAACAGACATAAAACGCATGCAATACGGTGCAATCACACAGACACGGGCACGGCCCTCGGCGGTCCTGGCCAGGGAAACCTGTCTGCCCAGGCCGGCCCAGGACCCTTCCTACCCTAACAACCACAAGGCCAAGCAGGCCCAGCCTGGCCCCAGCGGAGCAGGCTGCCCGCCGCTGTCCCTCGCCATCCGCCTCGCCATCCGCCTCACCTGGGCGGTGCAGCTCCCAGTCCTGCTCTGAGGAGCTCGTCCGCCTCTTCCTGACCCTACACTAATCTGGAGAGCAGAGATCGAGGGAACACAGAATCCAGCGGGGTCAGCGTAGACACAGAAACGCCATCCTCCGCGAGAGTCCGGAACACGGATCCCCAAATCCACCCTGCTCCGGACTAGCGCCTTTCGCATCACACCGCCCCCTTCTCTCCCCACCCTGCAGCTGGTCATGGGCTCGGTAACCTCTGTAACCACGTCACCACCCACCCCGTGGCTCACCCAGACCTCATCCACCCCCAACTCACTGGAAGCACCGAGCCATCGCCTGCCCCAAGGTCCAGGTCCTCTGTGCACCCACCCCTCCTGTCTTCATATCACTCGGACCCGTGCTGGCCTCTTGGGCTGACACACCTTTTGGAGCAACCAGGAGCACAGCACCCTTCTAGTTGTGCTTCTCTACGGCTACTACTGATGTCGAACTTCTTTTCTTTCTTTCTGAGACAGGGTCTCGCTATGCAGTTCATCCCGGCCTTGAACTCACTGTGTAGCCCAGGCTGGCCTCAAACTCTTGGCGATCCTCCTGCCTCAGCCTCCCAAGTGCTAGGATCACAGGCGTGCACTACGACGCCCAGCTTTTCAAGTTTTTTCTTTCATCAGCCACTTCACAGTGGTACGAAAAATACAACCCAGTTTATGTGCGAATCAGTCAGCACACAAGAGGCAGTGGAGAGAGAGAGAGACACACCGTGACTTACTTCATTCGTTCGAAGTCCGTGCAGGTGGAATATATTTTGGTTTCCCCGATCAGCACATCGCAGTAAGGGCGACACCCACTTCTCTGCTTGTTGAAGAAGGGTACGGGGCTGACAGTGACGGACTTGATGGTGAGCGGCTTGAAGTGAGGGCGGTAGGGTTTGTCCGCCAGGAGGTCGCACATGTAGCCCAGGTACCTGGAACAGAGAGCAGCGCTCTGCAGCCCGCGCGCGAGAAACAAGCCACCCTCACCACCAAGTCTATTCTCGCAGCTCATTAGCGTGCAGCAACACAAGCCCTGCCGCCTTCCCAGACACGAGCTAGCAGAAGAGGATGCAGGCCGGGAGGGAGTCCGCGCGTCCCCGGAGCCGAGACGGGGATTTGCTAGACCACAAGCTCGGAGTCTGCGCGCTGGCTCGGCATCGCAACGCCTGTTCTACTCATGGCTGGGGGTTAAGTTTATCAACTGCAGGCTGACTCAGAAAATGTCTTAAATTGTACCATCAGAAGTACTTTGATCCAAAAAAGGAAAAGAGGTAATTCAGATTTCTAAAACTAGAAAAAATTATGAACAAAGGGAGGAAAATAAATCAGCTATCTAACCAGGTTTCCTGTTTCAAGCTTCTTTTCAGATTATGCTTTATGATCTCTTTCCTTTCTCCCATATCTCAGTCATAAGAAAAAAGCGAGCTTGAAATCTCCTTTTTGCTGTATTCTGGCATTTCCTCTTCTTATCCAGCCTCCCACATAAGTGCTCAGCAGGAAGCACAACCAGCTACTGCCTGCAGTTCGATAATGACCTAAGTGGTGACACAGACGCAGCTGGTCTTGGGGCTGGGAACCAGACGGCGTCCCGGCTGTGTCACAACCTTCCGCAGTCTTGCTTTCTCACCTATGCAATAAGGGAAGTTGACAGAAGTATTCTTCCGGGTTTCTTGAGACAGAGAATTGCTATGTAGTCCAGCTGGCCTTGAACTCACCCTGTAGCCCAGGCTGCCCTGGAACTTATAGCGATCCTCCTGCCTCAGCTTCCCGAGTGCTGAGATTACAGGTGCGCATCACCATGCCCAGCTTGCCTAGGTATTCTTTGAAGTTTCTTTCCAATTTTAAAATCACAGACTTTCACATGGACACTTGGGAAACTGAAACCCCAATATCCTAATCCAATTCTGTTGTTCTCATAGCTCAGAATAACATCAGATAAACTAAAAGGAGGTTATGCAAGCCCGAGGAGGCAGGTTTCAAACAGGCCATGGGTCCCCGAGGCCACCCTGTGCCCGCTGTACCTCCTGTGGGACGGTGACAGTCCGATTCCCGGCCGCTTTGCGTACAACAACCGGATGGCAGGGCCAGGAGCAGAGTAGAGATTGCAGAAGATGAACATAGCACCGGTCAGAATCGACGAGGCGGCCCGGCCGTCCTGAAGGAGAAGACCAAAGACCCGTCAGGAACAGGAGGTTCAGACAGGAAGAGGGCCGAAGGTAGTGGGAAACTGAGGCAGAGCCTTTGCAAATGGGGAGGGGACCGAGAGATGAAGGGAGGGGCAGGAGCGGAAGCAAACAAGGATTAGAAAGGGTCAGGTGCAGGCACCAGCTCTCCCCTGCACGTCATCATTATGTGCTGCAAACACGGACCAACCAAAACAGAAATTAAGAAATCTATCAGAAGAGCCACAGAGTACAATAAAACAAAGTAAGAAACCCAGACAGAGAGAAAGAAATGCCCTTTACTGGGGGATCTTCAACTTCAAAACTGCTCATTCGAAAACCAAAGTCTGTGCCAGCGACGTAAGTCACAGAGCAGAAAGAAACACGCTCTCTTAGGACAAAACTGACTCTGCACGAGCCCAAGAAGCCCAGCAAAGTACATCGGACTTGTCTGCATTTACTGAAAAACACTAACCTTCAAAGTGACGTTGATTTGCAGAATCACAACTAATACTGGGGCGTCTTATTTTAGGACTGGAAGTAAAGATTTCACAGGACAGGAAGTTCTGCTTGCTAGAATGTGCTAGAGATAAGGTGTGCAGAACGAGAAGTGTTTAAATAAATGTGTTAAAATGTATTACAGTAACAGACACATTGCCTTTAATCTTCCTCAGAATCCTCCCACTTGCTCTGAGCACATGTATCCCATCCCCCTTGTTACTTCCTGCAGCAGCTCTGGAGTACACCTTTCTGCGTGTCTTTACTTGCACTGTCCTGGCTGACTGGATATCCTGACTGAATTCAAAACATTTTTAGCAATTTCTATCAAATAAAAACATTATGGTTTATACTCACCCATCTTATTCACTAGATCTGGCACCGTATGACCTCCAGCTCCTCCCCAAAGTCAGAATGACCAGGACAGGGAAACGTTTTGAATGGATTCAGGACATCGAGGCAGTTAGGACAGCATAGCCAAAGACCCTCAGGAGAGAAGATGCCAGAGCTGCTGCAGGACGTGGTCGGGACGGTGAGATGAGTGTGTGGGGAATAAGGGGAAGATTCTCAGCAGGATTTACAGCAATATTTCTTTTACTGCATTAATGTTCCTGATAGTTTTTGATCAGACTTGGTATGTATTTTATCCAAAGTTCATACTTACATTAACATAAAATTTGAAAATTTAATCTGATACAACTTCTTTTAATGTAGAAACAAATCTGTTGTGGACTGAACGTGTATGTGTGTGTGTGTGTGTGTGTGTGTGTGTGTTCCCCAGGTTCATGTGTCAGTGCAACGGCATTAGGAAGCAGGGGTTTAGGGAGGTGTCTGATCATGGGAGGGAGGACGAATGAGACACAAATGAGACTAGTGTCCTTGTGAGAAAAAGTCCCGTCTCACTTCCCGCCTCCTCCACCCCTCCTGGCCATCTGCCACCCTGCACACCTTGCTGTTCTGATCACACCTCATCTCTAACATATTCTGGCAAGCAGAACTTTCTAACCTACAAATTTACTTCGTCCAAAACTAAGATCCCACCCCCCAGTTATTAGCTGTGATACTACAAAGCAACATTACTGTGAAGACTGGTGTTTTCCAGGAAACGATACAAGTCAAATCTATTTTGCTGGGCTTCTTGTGCTCATGTAGAACCCACACACTGGATCTGCAGACAGCCTTCTCTTGGACTTCTAGCCTCCACAGCCATGACACACGAATTCCTACTGTTGAAGGGATCGCCTCTGGTGTGTGTGTTGCAGCAGTCAAAGATGGCATCTGGATGAGACCCAGCCTCTGGTACGGATGGGGCGGAAACGATGTTCCTACCCCAAGGAGCCCCCTCGACTCACAGAGCATTCTTAACACTGCACGTGTTGGGTTAAAGTCTCTCCCTCCGCACCCTCTGCTCAACGATCTTCACTGAGAAGAACAAGGTGACTCTCTCCCCGTGACGGGCCCTCGCATATCTGAGATGCCTTCCCTGTTCATCCACGCTTCTCTCCGGGTTAAAGCCAAGCCGATCGCTTGATCCCTTCCATCCTTTCCTCTCTGATCTTCACTCTAAAGACAGCATTGCTTCCTGAGCTCCCTCGGAACAGACTCCACGAGTTCTGCCCAAACTGGAGAAGGGATGCCTCACCCTCACTCGGAGCACTGCTTCCACAAATACAATCCCCAGCCAAACCAGGGCCAGACAGGCTAAGCTCACATGGATCTTTGTCTCCACCAAACCCCTGGTTCTTTCTCAGATGATCCGTTAATACAGCAGACAAATACCTTTGCTCTTTTAGAACCAGAATTCGGGGATGCACATTTATCCTGTATTTAATTTCACATGGTTGACTTCTGTTAAATAACTGGAACTACCAGAACTTCTTAAGTGTAGGTTTACTGTCTGAAATCTTCCTATCCCAAGAAAGCTCAGGAACCTGATTTCCATATCTTCACCAAAGCTGTTGAGGCCAGGCGTGGTGGTACATGCCTGTAATCCCAGCACTCGGGAGGCTGAGGCAGGAGGATCATTGCAAGTTCAAGACCAGTCTGGGCTACAAAGTGAGCTCAAAGCCAGCTTGTACTGCATAGCGAGACCCTGTCTCAAAAAGACAATAAATAGATAGATAGATAGATAAATAAAAAGCTGTTTATTAGGAAAGCAACCAAATGAAACTGCCCCCGAGCATTACCTAACAACCTAGCCCAAATTTCTCCTTCTTGGTTCTAAGAAACTGGGAAATCCTATGCAGAAATCCAGGAAACTAGGTGAACCACTCCACCAGCCTTGCTGCAAAATGTTCGGTGGAGTTGACGTTAGTGTTCATAACGAGCCCATGCTCATAATTTTAAAACTCTTAAAGAGTTTTAAACTCTTTAAGAGTTTAAAATTATCTGAGCACAAATTGACTGGACTTTTGCCTTAAACTGCCAGCCAGCACGCCAGCCTGTGCCTTCCCAGGGTCACGCTCCTGGTCCTCGGGGCCCCTTTCTAACCAGCCTGGCGGACAGGACTCCACACTTGCTTCTCCGGGTGCCTCCAGTGACTGCCACCCAAGTTAAGCCCTGAGGTGGGGTGACATTAAGCACTACGCATGCTGTCACCTTAGCGCTGCCCCTCCCTGCTAGCTTGACCTTTGCCCCCAACAAAAGAAACAGGACGAAGCTGTTACAATTACTGTTCCTCACGGCTTTGCTGTCCTTATCCCGAATGCAGGAAAAAAAGACAATCTTCCCAACCTTCATTCTTTTTAGAGTTTTGCCTTCTTGGTCTGAGGCTCTGCAGTGTGTGTGCCCTCCCTTTATCGACCACGCGGGTCTTCCTAAGGTTTCATATTTTAACTAAGAGCCCAGCCTACGCTTATTACTCTACGTAAGTGTGGGATACCTAGAGGGTCAAACACAAGCAGCCACTCACAGTCTCAATCCCACGTCCCGGCGCGGGCACAGACTTCCCGCACGCAGGTGCTCAGGAGGGAGCTGGAGGCGCCTGCGAGCCCACGCACTGCCGCCTGCGCCTCCTCCAAGACTGTCCACCTGCTGCTCTCGGGTCTGTCCCCAGAGTGGGAGCTTCCAGTCTGTCTTGAATCACCACAGTTAACAGACCCAGGCTCTCTGAACTTCCAGAAAAGGTTTGCGTGAAAATCACATAAGGACCCTGGGTATAGCTCAGCGAGCGGCCCAGCGCCTGGCTGATCACGTAAGGCTTCTTACTCCTTAGAAGTGCTCTTCCCTACCGTGTGACCCACTGTGCCCACAACAGTAAAGCACCTGGGCCCTCAGCATGAAATTCTTACACACACCAAGTGCCTTCCCGGATTGCCAAGAGTTCGGGAACTGCAGAGGAAAGGAGAAACGTGTTCTACTTTCTTCTGTTTTAGCCAGCCAGCTCTCGAGGGGAAACGGCCTATGATAGCACCGCAGAAACACGCTCTGAGGCTCTGAGAAGCAGGGAGTTACTCCCAGCTCGTGAGCTCGGGGCCGTCTGTGCGCGCCTTTGCTCACGAGCTCCATCGCTCATTCCAGCCTCTCGTGCAGGGGTGCAACAGGGGGACAGAAGGCACCTTCCTTCCCGAAGGAGACGGTGCTCAGAAAGACGAGGGAAGCACCCAGCGGGACGCAGCATATTCAAGGCCACCGGTCATGCGCCATGGAAATGCCCATGCTGGGAAGAAAGACTCGAGCCCCAAGCTTCAGAGGGTGGGCAGGAGGCGGGGCAGAGCTGGGGAAGGGGACTCGGGGAAGCCCTGGCCGGAACGTGCCTCCAGAAGACGGCCCATCTACGCCGCTACTCACAAGCACACAAGGGCCTTCTTCTCTCATTTTTATTCAAACATTGTAATATAAGAAGAATAAATGTGCCACTGTGTTTATACCAACTTTACTCACACGAAACTCAACGCATCATTCCCCGAGCACCCACAGCTCTCATGTCTACCCCTTTTATAATACTTAGCACATTTGAGGGGCCCCACGTCACACATCAGCTTCTCCCACAGGTACTTACGCTTTCAAAAGCCAAGAATAATACATTTCCCCTCACTTACCTCCCTCAAGTCATCCGACTCCCAAGCAGGAGCTTAGTAAATACTATGAACTCACTGGTCACCCACCCACCAATCAACGCGCAGCCGTCTCTCCTCCACCGCACCAGGCCACCCCGAGAACACAGGCTACTCACCAAGCAGTGGACCACACAGACGTTTTTGGGGTTCTGCAGCAGCCAGTTGTACATATTCCGACACACGGCGAAGAGGTTGTGCAGACTGGGGGCCTGCCTGAGGGGCCAGCTGCACTCTGAGACCTAAGGGGCACAAAGCAAAAGGCACTGAACTCCCCGGGCGACTGCCTGCCCGCCCGGGTCTCCCGGAAGTGAGCCCACGTCACTGTGCAAGACAGCTGCGAACACAGGGTCTAAATGCAGAGGGGAAGGCCATTTGGCGTGGTAATTTTTAAGTCAACACTCTTGTTTCAGCAAAGGTATAAAAATACATTTAGAAAAATATTTTACATTAAACTAGATCATCTTTTACTACGTATTTGGATTGTTTCTATTCCTGGATGACACTGAATTTAACTTCTATTAAGTGTTTTTACCTGCCTACCAGATGCTTAACTGTAGGATTACTGCACAAATCCTGCACTACCCCTAATTTCATCTCAGCCCTCATGATAATATGGAAAGTGCTGGGGAGGGAGCCGGGGAGGACTCATGTGGGTCTCATTTTGCTCTCTGAATAAAGGGGCCCGCGTCTCCACAGGGGAAGCCTTCCACACCTTCAGTTATTGGGCACTCGTGCTCCTCTGGTGTGGGACCACATCTGCTGTGTCTGCTAACGCTGCTCCACCTGCTCCGCACAACCGTCAAGTACGGCAGGTACGAATACGAGCCCACTTTGAAGAGGAGGAAACTGAGCCTCAGACTGTTTTGTCCAAAGCCACACTGCCGCCCAGACCTACAGACAGAAATCACCGTGCCTGGGCGGCACCATCACCTGCCCTGGAGCGCTGGGTGTGAGCTTCAGCCGATGAGCTATTTACTCATCCAGCTAATAAACAAGGAGGGTCTCGGAGACGGGAAACTTCACATCCCACACTTTTCCTTCTTTGTAAGCCACGGTACGTGACTGCGCCTCTCACACGGATCTTACACGAGAACGTGCTTCAGGGCTCAGCTCGGTATCGGACGCAGACCAAGTGACCCACAGATCGGAATTACTAGTGTTGCTATTTTTCCACGTGACTGCCACTGCCAAGCTCTGAGGTCAGACGGAGCCAGCTCTGGGTTTTCTGGTACCGGGATGTCGGTGTTTTAAAAAGAAACTAATGAAGCCGCTCAGGTGGGAGCGCAGGCTGAGGGCTGGGCGCTCACCGCCTCCGGGGGGGAGGTGGGAGAAGGCTGCAGGGGGAAAGCTGCTCTCGGGGCTCGCTTCCAAGGCCTCCCCAGCTCTGTGGTGGGAAAGGACGTGATGGCGAGAGGGTGAAGGCAGGGTGAGCGTCAGAGGCCGGGGCGGCGGGGTGCAGACACACCTGGGGGGTACAGGAGACAGCAACCTGTACACAGGGCCCGGGGGCGTCACGGGGCGGTACACGGAATGCGTAAACACGTGGCAGAGACGTGTGCACACTGGATGTGTAGACAAGCGGTAGAGCAGGAGGGCTCACGCTTAGAGAGGGGGACTTAGGGATGTCGCTTGTGCTCTGGCTTCAGTGGCCAAAGAAAAGGATGGGTGCCAGGGCCACACATCTACTGAGACAGAATCTGGAAAAGCAGGTTCTACAGAGAAGGTGCCGCCACAGGGTGCCTGCAACACGAACACCACCAGCCTGGGACACAAAGTCCTCACCTTCCTCACTCTGACAGCGGCCAGCAGGTGGAGTCTCTGGCCGGCCCCTCCTCAATAACCAATCAAAACGCATGGGGAACCGATCTGCAGTCGCTGAAACAAAGCTTCCTGCCCTGGCACTGCCAAGAACCCATTCGTTTGGGTTGCCTCGTAGTCTTTCCTATGACTGGGGGGTGGCAGCAGAGCACCTCCCAGGTTACCCACGGCTGTCACGGGTATGGCTCCCTCAGCCGAGGACTTGAAATGCTCGACACGGCTACTGGACAACCCACGTGATCAGTGCTAGGCCTGTTAATTTAAACCCACTGACATGTACATTCCATGTCCATGTGTTCATGGGGAATGGAACTGACGTACTGGATAGAAAAGTGAAACCCTGGGAAGATGAGCTTTGCTATCAGACTTACAAACTGTACATCAGTACAAGCTGCTTCCTATCTGCCTCATTCCCTGGTGAACTGCCAGCTCAATCGGGTAAGAGACGGGGTGGATCACGGGGCGCTAACTCACCAGTGGATTAATCCATAGCTGAATGTGCCACGGGCAGCGGGGGCCCACCTGGTGGTGGTGCTGTGGGTGAGCCTCTGGAGAGCGGGTCTGTCCCCAGCTCCCGTGAGCTAAGCAGCTTCGCCCAGCTGTCATGTTTCCGCCAACCATGGACTGAACTTCAGAAACCGTGAGTCAAAATAACCCTCTCCTTCTTTCGGTGGTGGGTGTCGGCTCGTACCAGCAACAGCAAAGCTGCCTCCTACTTGGTGAACTTCTACTAACCCTTCAAAACCCAAAATCAAGTGTCCTCTTGCCTCTGATGGTTTCTCTGACATCCATGGACAGAAACACTTCATCATCTTTGTCTATTTTCACTGTTTACAGCTTTAATCCAAGAGCAACAAGCCCCAGGCACAGGTGGGTTTCCACAATGGATTCACCACTTACACTTGTACAATCTTCTCCGGGCCCCAGATGTCTTGTGGGTAAAGTATAACCAAGGAGTACAAGGCTGTGAGAAGTAAGTAGTCCAGCAGGTGTACAGAAGCACTGGCTTACTGTCAAGCTGTACTGAGTACGCAGTTTCTATCTCCCTACACCGCCACTGAGTTCCATGCGGAGGAACTTCTTCACTTTTACAACCTCAGTGCCCACATGTCATGCATATGACAAGTGCCCTGCGGGTGTTTGCAGAGTGACTAAATGAGAAAGAATAAAGGAAGGCTGAGGCAGGAGGATCACTGCAAATTTGAGGCCAGCCTGGGCTACATAATGAGTCCAAGGCCAGCCTGGAAATACACAGCAAGACCCTGTCTCAAAAAACAAAAAAATAATAAAGGAGTGGATTCCACTGGGCAATCTCTTTTTCCAATGCATTAGTCTACAGCTACAACATCTTGAAGAAGAAGCACTTGCTGAGGTCTTTAGATTACAACAAGGTAAATGTACAGGAAAGCTGTTTTCCCAGGCAATACTTTAAAGGTTTTAAACACAGTGTTCCAAATGTCAGTATTGATACCGAATCTCAGCTAAAAATTGGCTGAATATTCTTAGCACAATAGGCTAACAGTTCCAGAATCATTAAATCAATTCACTAAATAATATTAATTTAAAGTACTCCATAATTATATATTTACTTGATATGTAATTATACACCATGAGGAAAACATATCATTAGAATTTTTAAAGTGTATGCTCCGTCTGAAGGAGGAGAGGTTGAAGGCGTGAGGAGAACGCCCACGTTTAAGGAACCAGTCACGGCCAGCTCTTGTGCTGCCCTCTGGCTTCCCCTGCGCCAGCCCCACGTCCATCAGGAGGCTGTCGTGAACATCAGCGGGGGGCGACCAGGAACTGCGGGTCTCTCCCAGTGCGGAGGGACACAGGCCCGCCACCGCCAGGCGCTCCCTCTGGCCTTGTATCCGGACCAGTGCTAATCACAGCCACCGCCTAGGACAGCCCCACCTTTTGCAGGGATGAACCCCCTTCAGTCACCTCGGCCACGCTTTCAGGCCCAGCGGTCACTGCCACCCCCTACACGAACTCCTTCTCTAGGTTTTGTAAAGAGCGCTTGCACCTGCCTTTGGAGCGACCGGGGTCCTCTCTGCAGGGGGCTTCAGGCCCTTGAGAACGAGAACCAGATCTCTTTCCAATCCACAGTGTTTAACAGTTCTCTGCGCACCTTCCACTAAGACACATGGGTCAGCCATGCCAGGCACTGCTCCAGGTAGCAGATAAAACAAGCCAGCTCCCTGCTCCGCTAGCGCACGGGAGAGCCGCCCAGGGTGGAGGCTCCATGCGTGATGCTGGCTCCCCCATTGAGGGTTCATAGTCACAGATCTTCAGTTCCACTAACAGGTGTGTTGCTGTAACAATATCTTGCTGGAGGAGGATCACATATGCCATCCAATCAGACATCTTCACACGTGCACACTCCTCTCTAGGGATGCTAGACCCTCCTTTACTTTTCAGACGGAAAATGCTCTAGACTATCACAAACCTTTCAAGAGCAGGAAAGTCTCTGTGCAATATGGTGCAGATGCCCTGTGAAAACGACAGCACCGACTTGGTCTCCTAGCAAGAAAGACCCGCTGGGACGATGTGCAGCAAGTCAGGTTTCTACGCACTTTGTTTGGTGCTAACGCAGTGCTCCGAGTCACACAACAGATGGAATAAGAGCTTGAGGGTGGGTTTATTGCCGTGGATTTTTAAGAGCTCTGCTCAGACACCCCATTATACAGTGGCAATTTAGACCCAGCCGTCCAGAAAGGGCTTATTGGTGCTTCTCAGAGCCCCGACAGCAAAGCAAAGGCCACGCCAGGAGCTGTCCAAAATGCAGATCCCTGGCCCTTGACTCTCCGGGAGCAGAGGTCTGTATCTAACCAGGCCTCGGGTGATTCTGACACCACCAAAGTTTGTGGCTCTTCTATGGACTTGCCGAGAAAGCTAGTGTTGCTAACACTCTGCATCCTACTGGATACTAGGATGGACGGGAAGGGGTCCCCGCATGGGAAAGGGTCTTCTTGTGTGTTTCACACATGTGAAAGTTAAGGTCCAGAGAGCACAAAGAGCATTTGGAATTTAGAGCAAAATGTGTTCCGGCATCTGCACTGAGGTCCCGGGTGTACCACACCAACGGCACCGATCCGCTGTGTGAAGGCCGGTTTCACTTAAACATCCGTCTACGGACAGTGCTTTCCGTTTGCTAACAGACTCATTTGAAGTCCCAGGCTAAGTCAAAAGCATTTAAAGATGTTCTTAAGAGAGAAAAAAGCCTTATTTTAGAGAGAACAGAAGAAGTCAGAGGCCAGAAATACCAGGCTCAGCATCAGACTCAAGCTAAGTCAGCACCCACAGCTCCTTAACCAGCCGAAACTAGAAGTATTTCTCCACCTAGTTCAAAGCCTCTTTCACAAGGATAACCCAGCTTTTCCGAGCAACACTGTCGGGTCAGGGCAAAGGTTAAGAACCCAAGCCGACTGGTGGTGTGTTCTTGGGCGAGTTAACTTACTTATTTCTTTGCGCCTCAGTTTCCCCCCTACTTCAGAGGCGCGCTGAATTACATGCGATGCAGGACGCGAAGTTCTCAGAACAATGCAATGCTGTATAAATGTTGGCTCTTGCTCTTAGTGTTATTACTACTGGTATTGAGAGATTATATGACCAAGCCTACACCATGAGCAGGCACTGCTTCTACGCCATCCTGCCCTTAGGGAAGAGGCCCCATACCGAGAGCCAGATGAGTATTTCTACGAATATTGTGGTCCGGCCACACTCCCTCACCTTGATATGGGAAATCAAGGCACAGTGCAGGACAGGGAAACCAGCTGGTTCAGGCCACGGGTCCGTCTCTAAGCTGACCTCATGAGCCACGCGCCAGGAGTCACCAAGCACCACGTGACTGGTGATTCCAGCCTCGGTGCACCCCAGTCAGACAGACACTTTCCTGCCGACATCCGACGTCCTCACTCCAATCTCCCCAACTCCCCTCACAGCCTGACAAGGGCAGCCCAGACAGGGGAGTCTGGAGCATGCAGCTCTCAGCTTCCGGAGTCCAATGGCAGAGGCTCTGAGGAGACCTCTTAAGAGGAAAAAGACCCTCTGCGGTCCTAGCAATGGAATCCCAGAGCTCAAGTCCCTTACCCGGCTGTGAAACTTGGCAGTCCGGTAAGACTTGGGAGACAGATTGTAGACTGTATAGTGGTCCAGATGTCTGGAATCCAAAAAGCTCCGGATGTCATCCACCTGATTCCTGAAGCCTATGTCAACCGTGTCCACAGGGAAGGACATCACTAGAAGAGAGAACACGGATGAGACAGGTCTGCTGCTTCCACGAGCCGTGGAAGTCCCTGACCACAGAAACTTACCAATAATCCTGGAGGTGACGTAAGTGAAGTCTAAATCTCCCTTTGTGTAGCTGAAAGACAGACAGGAAAGGGCGCTCATTAAGATGGTCCACGCGGGATGGGGATTTAGCTCAGCGGCAAAGCACCTGCCTAGCAAGCGCAAGGTCGTGAGTTCAGTTCCCGGTACCAAAAAAGATGGTCCACGCAGCCTGGGATTTCTCCGGGGTCGCTAGCACGTCGTGAACTGGGCCGCTGCTGTCCGACAGGCACCCCTCTGTCCACCAAGGGACACTCTCAGGGCCACTGAAAGAAGACACCTCACATCCGAGGGGCACAACTGTCCCATTCCAATCATGCTCCCTCCTGACAGGCAGAATCTCCACTAACTGATTAACACTGACGGTTCCAGCCTCTCTGCCTACTTGGAAATCTCTTCCCTAAGGGTAGGAGAAAAAAACAATGGAGAAAAACAAATGACACTCTTTTGCTGCCTACCAAGGTCCTAGTCCGGACCTGGAGAAGGGGAGGAAAATGTTGCCTTGAAGCCAATATGAACACCTTGGTTAATATATTGGACTTCACATTTGAATTTCTGATTCAAAACCATATATTGAAATTTAAAGTAACCCCAGAATTTTGCCATGCTATGAATAAAAAGAATTCACATTATTTTTGTGAGAATTTGCATATAGCAGAACAGTAAAAAAAAAAAAAAACCTCTCCCAGTAGGATACAAAAAGCTCTGTTCTGAGGAGAATCCCCGGGTAGTGCTTATTCAGAGGGCACCTACAATGCTACCTCACTTTAATCCTCACGCCCCCAAACCACTCCCATCAGGGGATAAAAGTCAAGTTCGAGAACTGATTAACACGCCTTGGGTCACAGGAGAACAAGCCCAGATCCTGCCTTAGGACCCAGACGTTTGGTTCCGAAGCCTCAGGGGGCAACTCACAAACTCTGCATACCCGTGAGCTGCGTTCTCCCAGCCGTGCTAGGGCTTCTAGAAGATTCCAGGGCTCCGGCAGCAGGCCCCGCTCACCAGATCCCAAGCAGTTACCTGGCGACGGCAGCACTGCCCCAAGCAGGCGCGAGCCGGGAGGCGCGCTCACCTGGACACAGACTGCATCACTCTGGAGGAGGTGTCCTTCAGGGTGTCCTTCAGGTTGTCCTTCAGGTTACTGAAGAGCCTCCCCGCGCCTCCCTTCACCATATCGAAAAGGCCTCCCCCGTAGCTGGGCTCCATGTCTGGGGACGAGGCACCTGCGAGAAAGCCGGAAAGGGCCGCTGGCACCAGCGTCGCAGAGACCCACGGCCCTGGCCCAGCACCCACAGGTCCCGGTCGGCGGAGGGGCAGCAGTGCTGCCAGCCCTCGGGGACACAGGGTCCCTCACGACAGGAGCCCACAGTCCGCGTCCGCGCCTCGGCCCGCAGCCCCATGTGGCCACTGCGCACCTGAAATCCGCGAGTCCAGACCCGGACGGGCCGCTGCGGGGAGACAGCGACCCCGCATTTCACGGGCTCGGGGCCAAAGGAAGGGTGGAAATATCTCGCCAGTGTTTTTGCACGGATCACACACCCAGATGACTGCATTTCAGACCGACTGGATTTCAGACCTATTCATCTATTGAATGTACCGAATGACAGTATTTTTGATCTATTGACTCCATGTTGAAATGCGAGATTTTAGCTCTGCGGAATTTCAGAAATGACACCGTTTCAGATAGTTTCACCTGGTTCTTTTCGCCGTTTTCCTGGCCGGTTTTTATTTTTCATTAGTCCACGTCTGCAGCTTAACAATCCCGGTCCTTGGGTGGAGGCGGGGCGCGGGCGAAGCTCACCCCAACCCCCTCCCCTCCCGCCCTCCTGCTCTGCGCAGTTTCCTGTTCCCTGTCTTTCAGTTTGCTCTTTGTTATACTCTGGGTTTCTCGTAGAAGAGAAGCCCTGTGAGGGCGGGGATATAGCTCAGTGGCCCAGCGCCTGCCTGGCAAGCGGGAGGTCATGAGTTCAATTCCCGGTACAAAAAAAAAAAGAAAGAAAGAAAGAAAAGAGAAGCCCTGTGATACTTAAGCCTGTGCGTCTGATTTATTTCACTTAATGTTACGATCACAAGGGGCATCCATTTTCCTACAGATGACTCAAGTGTGTCCTTCTTTATGGCAGAGTAGTACTCCGCATTGTATCAACACCACATCTTCTTTATCCACCCATTGATGGACGGACAGGCCACTTCCAAGGTTTAGCTGCTATAAATTCTGCTGCTATAAACACGGGTGTGCATGGATCCCTGTGCGTGGATCCCTGTAATACAACGTCTTTAACTCTTTCAGGAAGATACTCAGAAAGGAATAGCTGGGTCAAATGCACTTTCTAGTCCTGGCTTTTTGAGATTCACCCCGCTGTTCTCCACAGGGGTTGTCCTAGTTTACACCCCGTCAACAATGTCGAAGGGTTTCTCCTTCCCTGAAGCCCCTCAGAGCAAAGGAAACAACCAACAGAGTGAAGAGACTACCTCCAGAAGGGACAACCCATAGGATGGGAACATTTTTACCAGCTGCTCCTGAGGGCTAATGTTGAGAAAACATAAAGTACCAAAAAAAAAAAAAAAAACCCTAAACTCCCCAAACAAAAAGACCTGGTCTAAAATGGGCAAATGGAACAAACAGACCCCTCAGGGAAAAGTACAGATGGGCCTTTGACTCTTTCATGGTGGCCACCGGAAGCTTTTGCGTGGCCCGTGTGGCCTGCGTCCTGTGACTATGCTGTTCCAGAGAGGCGGCTGGGGAGCGGCCGGGGGGCAGCCACAGCTTGGAGCCCAGGGGCCGCCCTGCCCTAGTGGCACTGAGCGCTAGCGGCCCTGTACGTTGGCTTCCTTCCCTGCATCAGTCCAGTCCCTCAGAGACCGTCCTCTGCACGGTGGCATACCACGCCCCAGTGTCACCTGCCGACCCTGTGACCTCTCTTCCCGTGCAGCCTCACAGACAGGGGTGCTGTCCAGCTCCGTGCCATTAGCGCTCGTCCAGGGACTCAACCCCAGCACAGCTGGCACTTGAGGCCAAGCACTTCCGTCCAGCCGTGCGGGGTGTGTAGCGTCCCTGGACACTCAGGGTTCGGTGCTTGGGACTCTGGGGACACATTCTGGGACTCCCCAGTTGGTGGCCAAGGACACGGGGCATTGCTTATCCTCGTAGCCAGGCCGCTGCCTTTGGAATCACACTCCACACACGGACTCCGGGCTGCTCAGATGGCCTTCACAACCCGGAGACACACGTGACTGTCACAGCCCCACACCCCGCTGGCGAGAGCTATTCCCCCGGAGTCCGCCCTGGGCATCTATTTGTGAGTGAGGCACCGCGGGAAATCGCAAGGAGCATGGGCACGCATGAATAATCGAATGGGCAACGCCGCAACGTCCACTGCTCACGGGCTGTCCTCTGCCTTCCAGCCCTGCTGGTCCCTGATGATGGCACAGGTGCCTGTCACACGACAGTGTTCATCATGCCCACCACACTGGGGCAGCGACCGAGGCCCGGGGACGGGAGGCGGCTCGTCCCCACCACAGCGGCAGGCGGGATGGCCCGCCGGAGGCCCAGCTCTGCGCAGCTCCAAGACTGAGGCAGATGCGCCAGGCCTGCCCTCTCCTGCCTCTCCCACCCTTCTCCAGGCTGCTCTGGGGGCAGCTGTGCCCACAACCAGCACCCAGCTAAGTCCGTGTCTGTCCGGGCAGCCAAGGCAGAGTCACCGCGCAGGCGGCCTGGGCTCAGTCCTGCTCCATGCCACAGCCCTGAAGAAGACGCAGGGAGCCACTGGTGGGCGATTCGCGGCCCGGGGCTCACACTGCAAATGCGAGAACCGTCTGCTACGTTCCCCTGTGAGAGTGGGCAGTGTGCCCGCCACCCCACTCATCAAGTCTGCCATCACCGAACAGCACCAACGCTCATGGCTGCCCCGGCCCCGGGCCAAGTCGCCCCCTCGGCCTCCTGCTGTCTCACCCAGACCCATCGCCCGAGCACTCTCAGACCCTCTACTGCATCACAGAGCAGGACTCAGAGGCGCCAGCCTGTGAAAGGAGAGATGTCCTTGATTATCCAAAACTCCGCCCCACTGCAGCTCCAGGCTTGGCTCCCTAGGGCCTCAGGATGCCGTGGGAACCAGAAGAACCTGCCAGGGCCCATCTGTGGCCCCCAGATGCCAACTGGATGTCACCCTTGCCAAGACACCAAAATGGGAAGAAGGACATTGTGTGACTTTGCTCTCATGGCTCTTTCAGGAGGTGTCTGGCTTTCCCTGCTGAGCTACAAGGGTCCAACGCCCAGATTCTGCAAAGGGCATCTGTGACAGCTTGTGTCTCAATGTGCCCTCACAGCCTCACGCGGGCATAGAGGGGGCTTCTGAGGCAGCTGGATCTAGAGTGTGTGGTGCTGGGTTCAAGGGTGTGGGACTGAATCACCCCACTGATCGACCTGGCGTCGTTCTGGCTAGGATGAAGGGTGTGAGTGCTACACCCACCCGAGGGCAGACAGCCTGCAGAAGATACAAGGGACAGAGCGAGGGCTAATGTGTGCTCTTGCCTCCCGCTTGCCATGGACTGTCTCTTCTCTGTAATGCCAATCTGCCACGTCCACTGCCTCAGAGCCAGCTGACTGTGGACTGAACCTCTATAAACTGTAAGCCAAGTAAACCTTCCTCCCTTAACTCTGGGTGTCGGGTATTTTGTCTCAGCCATGAGAAAAGTAACTAAGACAGTACCGCAGCTTCTGACAGCTGAGAGAAAGGGCCGAGAGAAAGAGGGTTTCAAGATAGACTCCGCAGCAGGGAAGTGAGGCGGGGAGACAGTGGCACGCAGAAGAAAACAATGACTGCGGAGACCAGGGCGGGACGAATCCACACATCCAACCCGCTCCGTTGCCCGCTTCTGTACAGTCTGGGAACTAACAGTGGCGCTTTTATTCTTGAATGATTGAAACAACGGTCAAAAAAAGAACGATGTTTTGTAACGTGTGATAATGAAGTTCAATGTCTGGAATTACTAGGACACCCCACTGGCAGGCGGCTGAGTGGTAAGGTGTTGGGCTACCATGAGTTGGATCCCTGGTACTGAAGAAGGAAGGAAGAGAGGAAGGGAGGGAATAAAAGAGGGAGGGAGGGAAGAGAAAAGCTATACTTACAAAACAGGACAAAACAAAAAATAAACAAACTACAACACATGCATAGTACCATCTCCTTTTTGTAAAATATTTGCATGAAGAGGAAGAACTCAGATGCTGTAGTAAACACAGGACAGCCACAACCACTCAAACCTCCTCAGCGCCTCCTAGTTCTGGGCGCCAACCTAAATCCCGTCGGGGACGGAGAAACTCATCTCATCTTCACCGCTGCTCTGAAGACAGAGCCACCGAGGGCCCCGTGCACAAAGAAGGCGGCATGAAGACCGCCTGGCACTTCCCGAGGCTGCAGCTGGGAGCCAGGACTTTCAGCTGGACTCATGCAGGACATTGCCGTGGGACCCAGGCCCTCGGCAGGATTCTTTGGTCTTTAGAGTGTGGACAGATTTCCTGCACTCTCTTGGTATATGACTCTTTGGGTGGCTATTATAAATAATCCTATAAACTGTGTGTCCTGTACTGTTCCCCTCGCAAACACTCACTACGACAGCATCTAATCCCAAGGCGAACGGACAGCGGGAGCCCAGGGCAGCGCCTCCCCTCAGCCCAGCAAGCACAAGAGGCTCCACCAGGCTGGGCAAGCACTGAGCAGGACTCTGGGCGCGTCCAGGACCAGCTCTACGGGGAACGGAGCCACTCGCACGTGGAATCCTGGGCCAAAACAAAGAAGCCCTGGGCCTGCGGGAAATTCTGCCACCTGTGGGCACAGAGAACCTGCGATTCCCTCGTGTGACCCCTCTCCAGGGCACCAAAACCACCACTATTGCAGGCCCAGCTTCTGGTGTGGCCTGGGCTCCAGGACAGGTTCCCATCGAGGCCTGCTTGCCTCCCACAGGTGGACAAGCCAAGCTGATCCAAACGCTGAGCAGGCCAGGCTGTGTCTGCACATGGCCAGACCCCAGGCCTGGACACCTCTCACAGTGGGCAAGTGCTGAACCCCAAAGGCCACAGGGAGAAGGTCGGGTCCAGGCTCACTGCAGACCCCACGGAGGGCTGCCACCCCAGTCTCAGCTCCACAGCGACCATAGCTGGAGAGCCAGAGAGGACGCCCCAACAGGCAGGAGTGAGGGAAAGACAGTGGACGGCGCACGGGACACT